GGGCCATCATGGAGTTGAACCAGCAGAGGGAAGGTCTCTCTCTTTCTCTCCCCTCACCCCTATAACTCTGACTTTCAAATAAATAAATAAACCTTAAAAATTACCTGTCCCAAGTCTCTAATACAATTATTCAAATAATGGTAAGAATAGGTAACTATTTTTGGCAAGTGAATTACTGTTTCATGTGCTCATATTTGCTTTGATGTACAGTTTTACTTTTCTTTGAAAATACTTAATTTTTCTCCATTCTCCTTTGACTTTCCCTGGCAGAATTATACAGCTTCTCTCAACGTAATGCAACACATCATGTTCTGCTCACCTCCAGTTTATGCTTGGGACCGTAACCCCAGTAGATTAGATTGGAGCTGTAATCTAATTAGATTAAGGACATCTGCCTCCCTCCTCTACTGCATACTGCTGACCTCTAGGTCTGTTCTCAGTTGTCATGTACGAGCTGGGAGTTTTGATTCCTTCCTGTGTAGAGTTCCACCTTGTGAATCCTTGGCTTTTCTCTTCTAGCACATTCTGTTAGCTTCTTGAGAAGGATTGCTTGGAAAATTCAGTTTTTTCCATTTTATTTGTCTGAAAGTGCTCTTTGTTGTACTGTGAGTGTTTACCATTATACAGAATTTCAGATTAGGAACTGTTCTCAGTTTGCAATTCCAAGTCGCTGATACAATTACCTGTAGCCTTGCTTCTGGAGAAGCAATCACTGTGGATACATTTTAAGGCTTTCTTTCTGATATTCTGAAAATTTCTGTTGACATATCCTTGCAGTTTTTTTCTCTTTTTTTCTCGTTTTTTCTTTTTTTTTTTCTGGGTATATAATTGGTTCTTTTTTTTTTAAAGATTTATTTTTGTTATTTATTTATTTATTTATTTTATTTCATTGGAAAGGCAGATATACAGAGAGGAGAGACAGAGAGGAAGATCTTCTGTCCGATGATTCACTCCCCAAGTGAGCGCAACGGGCCGATGCTATGCCGATCCAAAGCCAGGAGCCTCTTCCGGGTCTCCCACACGGGTGCAGGGTCCCAAAGCCTTGGGCCGTCCTCCACTGCTTTCCCGGGCCACAGGCAGGGAGCTGGAAGGGAAGCGGGGCTGCCGGGAGAGAACCGGCGCCCATATGGGATCCTGGGCGTGCAAGGTGAGGACCTTAACCACTGCGCCACTTCGCCGGGCCCAATTAGTTCTTTTTTTTTTTTTTAATTATTTATTTTTTATTACAAAGTAAGATATACAGAGAGGAGGAGAGACAGAGGAGATTTTCTGTCCGATGATTCACTCCCCAAGTGAGCCACAGTGGCCGGTGTTGTGCCGACCCGAAGTCAGGAGCCAGGATCCTCTTCCGGGTCTCCCACATGGGTGCAGGGTCCCAAAGCTTTGGGCCGTCGTTGACTGCTTTGCCAGGCCACAAGCAGGGAGCTGGATGGGAAGTGGAGCCACCAGGATTAGAACTGACGCCCATATGGGATCCTGGCATGTTTAAGGCCAGCACTTTAGCCGCTAGGCCACGCCGCCGGGCCCATAATTGGTTCTTTTACTCTAAAAGCTTATATTCTTAAAAGATGGGGGTATCTTTTTATATTGTGTCTCTTTAATTTGTTATGTTCTTAACTATTTATTTATTAAAAAGGCAGAACAACAGAGAGAGGTAGAGAGAACGAGTGAGCAAGCAAGAGGGAGCTCTTCCTGCTGTTGTTTCTTTTTCCCAATGATCACAACAGTGGGTCTGAGCCAGGGGGAAAAAAATGTGAGTTACTCATTTCCTGTCATAAAAATGCGAGAAAACATTTATTGTGATTTCTGTAACAAAGCCTCTAGAAAACTCGGTAGTCCTAGGAATAGTTGGCAGTGTTATTAGTTAAATGAGAAAAAATAAAAGTAAATCTGACATTGTCAAAGACAGATTGGAGAAATTTCAATTCAGTCCATGAAAAACACAATGAGCAATGTTTATTAAACAAGGCTCGGTAACTCCTTGTTCCTTTGTTCCTTGCACATATGTGAATCAATGAACACTCATTGCTTATTAGGTTGATTGAGATGGTTTTCTTTTACTTAGAACCAAACTCCCTTACCATGACATGTTCTCTGTATTTTAAAAAATCATTTAGCTTCCATTTTAAAAGGAAATAAAATTTATTAAAAATAAAATAAGTCGTACTTCTAGATCACATCCAGACTTTAAGGAAGAAACATGCAGGAGCCTGCAGTGTCACTTCATAGCAGGTTAAGCTGTCACTTGCAAGGCCCTGGATTGAGTTCTAGGTCCCGGGCTGTTGCACTGTTGCAGCCATTTGGGGACTGAACCAGGCAATGAAAGGTATTCTCTCTCTCTACCTCTCCATGTCTTTCTTTGTATCACTCTGATTTTGTTTCTCAAATAAATACATCTTTTTAAAAAGTAGCCTTTACCACACAGCTTTTATTAAGTGGCATGATGGTAACAACCTATTTCCCAAAGTCCGTGTTTTGTAGCAACACCAGGATTATTTCTCATTTATGTTACCTATATGATTAGGATTCTCTCCATGTTCTTTTGATTCTGAACACATCGTTGTGGCAATGATAAAAGAACCAAACAACTTCTCTTAAAGATTTTTATGAAAGTGGCATGGAGAAATTCCACATTCAGTTTATCAGCCAAAGAGAGTCAAGTTGACAAAGAGGATTTTACATGAATAATTGAGGACCGGCATGTAAATAATTGAGAGCAGTAGTCATTCATACATGCCCTAGGAAATACAAGTAGTAGAGTATGGGGAATGTATTATCATGTGACTTGTAAAGCTAAGTTGGAGAAAACCAGGCAGCTATGAATGGTTCTTTTCAAATACTGGAGAGTACCAGCTACAGTCATGACAACTGGAATACCTTGAAACCTTCCTGCTAGAGAGGTCATTTGTTGACTTTTCCAACTGAGCCCATACTACAGCCATCCCCTTCAAGATTCCAGACAGATAAGCAAACCAAATTAGATTTTTTTAGTAAATATTTATTTATTTTTATTGGGAATTCAGGTTTACGTAGAGGAAGAGAGACAGAAAGAGCTTCTATCTGCTGGTTCACTCCCCAAATGGCTGCAATGACTGGAGCTGAACCAATTCAAAGCTGGGAGCCAGGAGCTTCTTCCAGGTCTCCCACATGCGTTCCACAGCTTTGGGCCATCCTCTTCTGCTTTCCCAGGCCACAAGTAGAAAGCTGGATAGGAAGTGGAGCAGCCAGGACAGGAACCAGTGTCTATACGGGATCCTATTTGATGAGAGAGGATTAGCCAGTTAAGCCATCATGCCTGCCCCACCCCTCCCAAATTGAATTCTTTAGACCAGTCCATTTACCACTTGCCCTCAAAATCTGCTGCTACCTTAGATATATAAGCTTCTCCCCCACCCCACTCCCAGAACATGACAAGTGTTTTCTCCAGATTTTTTTATATGCTCAGAATACAATTGCTGTCCCTGAGCTATGGTCTTTTTCACTCTGTATTCTCCAGTTCCTTCTTAATGTCTCATTTGTATCTTTGCCTCTTGTAGTTATATTCCAGAAATCAAAAGAAAGTAGTTGGAAAAGAACTCTGAATTACATTTAAGAAATAAAGTCTAAGGGAATAATTCGAATTTTCAATTTTACACACTATAATTATCCTTCCTCCTAGGTTTTAAAATTTTTATTTAGTCTTAATTCTACTATATATTCTAAGTATACAAACCCAAATCAGGTGTTTACAGGTGGGAATAAGTGTTTTATGCTTAGCAGAAGGATTTTTAAATTGTTACTGTTATTTATTTGAGAAGGAGAGAGAGAGCTCTCCCATCTACTGGTTCATTCCCTTGGTTGTAAATTTGTCTCAGAAAATAATAGGAAGTTTCTATTCAATAAAAGAAAATAATATTTTGCTTTCACTGAGTAATTCTAACAATTGAGTCTGTAACTTTTAAAAAAAGGTTTAGTTTATTTTTATTTGAAAGAATTACAGAGACAGAGGCAGAGAAAAAAAAAAGGGAGAGAGGGAGATTTTCCACCCATTGGTTTTCTCTCTTAATGGCTGCAACTGCCAGAGTTGAGTTGTTCTGAAGCTGGGAACCAGGAACTTCTTCCAGGAGTCCCGCATGGATGAAGGGGCCCATGGCCTTGGGCCACCCTTGCTGCTTTCCCAGACCATTGCCATTAGCAGGGATCTGGATTGGAAGTGAAGTAGGTCGAACACCAACCTGCATTCATATGGGACGCTGGAGTCACTGGACACAAGACTTTTTTTTTTTTTTTTTTAAGATTTCTTTGTTTTTATTGCAAAGTCAGATATACAGAAAGGAGAGACAATGATTCACTCCCCAAGTGACCACAATGACCAGTACTGCGCCGATCGGAAGACGGGAGCCAGGAGCTCTTCGGGGTCTCCTATGTGGTTGCAGGGTCCCGAGGCTTTGGGCCATTCTCAACTGCTTTCCCAGGGCACAACCAGGAAGCTAGATGGGAGGTGGGGTCGCTGGGATTAGAACCGGCGGCCATATGGGATCCTGCCGCTTTCAAGGCGAGGACTTTAGCTGGTAGGCCACCGCACCGGGTCCAAGATGGTGTTTTAACATACTTGAGCAACTATGGTGTCCAGACTTACATCAATGGAATCAATTGAGCATAGGAATTAAGACATAATAATTTGTGTCTCATTTATGAGTTTATGGTGGTCTTCCTTTTCATTTATAAATCTGCTCTTTCATTTTCAAAACTTTCAGGAAATAGCATAAAGGCTTATATTGTTTGAACATGGTATACCTAGGGCAATAAATATTCATGTTTACCTAGACACAGAAATGGTGCAATTACTTTAGTTAAACATTGTCTAATGACACTCTGAAAGAGCAAATTAACTGCCTGGGAAGTCATTTGGTTGAGTCCCTGATAGTTTCCAATAGTATCTGTTCATAAGAAGCAAGTCTGAAAATAGAGAAAAGAAAAAAAAATGCTTTTAATTATGAATTCATCATTGAAACTGCCTGATGTTGATTGGTAGACAACACCAAGTAATATTCTTTTCCCTGGCCAGCATGTCACCGTTCCCAGTGAAGGGAGCTTTTTGTTTGCTATTGATTTCCTGCTTGTTCGTTTCTTCAAGGAGTCAGCAGACAGCAGAAGGCTTTGAGTGCAGCAGCGGGGTCTTCTTGCCTGCTGACCACGTGTGTGACTTCACAGACCAGTGTGGGGATAACGGCGATGAACTGCAGTGTGAGTGCCTTCCTGTTCTTCATGTCAGTCTCCTTGCTTCTTGAAACAGAGATGCCATGGTCTGTCTTGGAGATCATTCTACATTCCTGGTCCTGCGTGGATTTTATGCTGTATGCTGTCAATATAAATTAGAAACTAGAATGTATCGTTCCATGAAGAAATGAGCTATTACATTAAAAATTTTCTGACCAGTATCAAATTATTGAGACTCTAGCTGATCAGTGTATTTCAGGTCAGTTTTCATTTTGTTCCCACTAATTTTAAAGTAATGATTAGTGGAAGCGCAGTTGTTATGTTAATGAAACAAAACTTAAATGGTTCGCATTGATGAAGGTATAATGGAAAGTGTGAGATTAAACTTGTGTTTAGTATAGAAATATTTGAATATTATTTTAGCCTGGATGGATAGGTTTTATTTCTGTTTACAGAATGCTAGTGCCAAGAGTGTTCTTACCAACTGCATGTGTAACACAACCTGAAGTTGTGGTCTTTGCTTTGAGAACCATGCCAAGAGCACACACTTCAGAGTGGAAGACTTCTACTTGGGTGCTACATGTACCATCTACTGTGCCACCTTGAACTTTCATTTTATTATAAAATGTCATGAAATGAGATAAACCAACTCTCACAGATCAAACATCTCTGATTGCTTACTGGAATAGTATTAAAGAGCAGGAAGCGTTTATCAAGGGAAGGCATGGAGAACAACATATATTTCTGTAGTTTTTTATGCAACAGGAAATCTTGAAAGAATGCTGTATTTCAGCATAGAGAGTAATGTTATTCCTATACACAATCAACTTCCATAAACCACATTTTCATACAATTGCCATGGCTTTACTGCTGGTTCATAATAGTGTTTTTTTTTTTTTTTTTTACTTTTTATTCTTATTATTATCATTTTATGATACCATAATAGTGTTTTTAAAGTTAGTTTTCTGGTGGCACTAATTGTATTAGTGTAGATTGGTGTATACAAATATATGTTTTCTAGTTTATATTCATGTATCAACTAGTATGTATACAAAGTCTCATGTTCTGCCAGAATAGGGTTCTGCTCTTGTTTGATTTGGTTTTGCTCTTGTTTGATTTGATTTATATATTGTTACTGTACTAAAACAAGAAATTGATTATTGAAAATTGCCTCTCTGTAGAAAAAAAGAGCGTAAAGATTTTTCTCCTGTAATTTGGGATAGTTGCCATGTTATTAATTCTTAGTAGCTGCTGAGTCTGAAGGCCAACAAAGGACAAGCATTCAGTGGCATGTATCCAGTTTGTACGTGGAGGCTAAGTGTGGGATGTTGCCTCTTGCTTCCGTCTTTCAGGGAAAGCCCTCACTATTCTTCAATGAATGTCCAAGAGGAACTGCTTGGCTGGTTTGACAAGAAGTGCAAAGTCTTTTCCAGTATTCATCTCCATGAAGCTTCCTTTAGCACTGTTGCTATGATAAGATGCATGGTCCTGCTCAGGGAAAAGGTTAATGTGAAAATGGAGAAAGCTGCAGTGTGCTAAAGGTCTCCACAGTGTGAAAGGACAGCACAGGCTCAGATCTGTGGAAAAAAACGCATTTCATTTATACATTGTACTGGGAGATCACCTTTTGGCTTTCACATTTTTTTCATGTTCATTTCTGAGAAGTTTCCACTTTGGTAGTTTACTTAAAATGTGTGTAAGAATTCACAGATAAAATGAAATATCACGTTAAGTATGAGTTCCTTCTAGTCACCATGGTAGGGGAAAAATGTGAAGGGATAATGAGAGTCCAACACTTTAATTCATGAAAACTTGTTATGCTAAAGTTATAAATCAGGTTTTTATAGCATCTAACTTTGGAATGACATCCAAATAGCCATGTTTTTGGGGAAAAAAAATCAGCCTGTGCTCTATTAATATGCAAATAGTGTTACCTTTAAAGAAGTGGTGTAATATGTTGACTTTTCTTAAATTTGAGTAGTTGAAGTTGGATTTCAGATGCAACTTATGTTTTAGTAGTTTTTAAAATATCTTTTATATGGGAGACTCAATTTTAATAATACATTGCTATTGTTTTAGCACAGAATGTATTTTTAAGAAACCAAATAGAAAATTTAATTTTCAGACCACTTTCTATTTACAGTGTTTACCACTTAATTGGTAGTAAGTAAGGAAAAATAATTTGTGTATGTAACAAGTGTTGTATTGAGAGTCTCTCCTTTGAAGAAATGTGTTACATTGTTAGGTAAGGCTACCTTGTAACCTTGATCTCTGTATTCCAAGTCCTGTGTTGTCTGTATCCATAACAATTCATAATGACTAGTCTTCCTCATTTTCTCATTCTCTTTTCTTCATCTTTATTTTTGCTGATATTATTTTTAATATTTTATTATTTAATACTTTATTTTTATTTGTAGAGAACATGGTGACATTTTGCTGTATGTATACAACATGATACGAAAAACCAAGAAAATTAAAATGTTAATCAGCTCAGTTATTTATCAACTTTGTGTTGAGACATTTGAAATTTACCTGGTTCTTTTCAAGTATAAAATAAATAATTGTTGATTATAGTCATCCTGCTGTGCAACACATTTCAAAACTTAGACCTCCTGTCTGTCTGAAGTTTTTGTATTCTTTGTAGAATAGCTTATCCTCTCCTCCCCTCTCCCAGTTTCGGTTACCTCTTCCTGCTCTCTTCATCGGGTTCAACTGTTTTAAATTTCACATGCAGTTGAGTTCATTCAGTATTCGACTTTTTAATTCCAGACATATATCCCTTAGGAGAGTGCCCTTCAGGTGCATCCACGTTGTTACAGATGGCCCATATATTTCTTTTAAGGATGGGTATAGTATTCCACTGTGTATTTGTACCACTTTCTGTTTATTCACTCACTAGCCATTGGGTATTTAGGTTGTTTCTACATCATGGCTGTGGGTGAACACTGCTGCAGTGAGCATAGAAGTGCAGCAATACCATCCACATATTGATTTAGACTACCTTGGTTATATACCCCCAAGATGAGATTCTTGAACCACAAGGCAGTGATTTCCTACTGTCTACTACAATGGCTGTATTAATTTGTATTCCCATCTACAGTGTGGAAGAGTTCACTTTTTACTGCATCCTCAATAACATTTATTATCTTTCATTTTTTTTTTTAATGAGAAAGTCAGATATGCAGAGAAGAAGAGAGACAGAGAGGAATATCTTCCATCAGTTCATTCACTCCCCAAGTGGCTGCAATAGCTGCAGTTCTGCTTATCTGAAGCCAGGAGCCTCTTCTGGGTCTCCCACACGGATGCAGGGTTCCAAGGCTTTGGCCTGTTCTCTACTGCTGTCCCAGGCCACAAGCAGGGAGCTGGATGGGAAATGGGACTGCTGGGACATGAACTGGTGCCCAAATGGGATCCCAGCACGTGCAAGGTGAGACCTTTAGCCACTAGGCTACTGACCAAGCTCGTATTATCTTTTATCTTTTTGATAAAAGACATTCTGGCAGACAGATCTCAGGTAACCCCTCATTGTCATTTTCATTTGTGTTTCTCTAATGATTAGTGATACTATGCATTTTTATTTATTTATTGTTTTGTAATTTATATGTCATCTTTTGAGAAATACCTGTTTAAGTAGATCCTTTGCTCAATTTTGAATAAATTTATTTTTCCTGCTATTAAGTTATGTGATTTTAAAATTTTTATTTTATTTTATTTTTTTAAGATTTATTTTTATTATTTTTTTATTGGAAAGGTGGATATACAGAGAGGAGAGACAGAGAGGAAGATCTTCCGTCCGATGTTTCACTCCCCAAGTGAGCGCAATGGCCGATGCTATGCCGATCCGAAGCCAGGAGCCTCTTCTGGGTCTCCCACGCGGGTGCAGGGTCCCAAAGCTTTGGGCTGTCCTCGACTGCTTTCCCAGGCCATAGGCAGGGAGCTGGATGGGAAGCGGGGCTGCCGGGGTTAGAACCGGCACCCATTTGGGATCCCGGTAGTGCAAGGTGAGGACCTTAACCACTTGCGCCACCACGCCGGGCCCTAATTTTTATTTTTTATTAATATAAAAGAACAGTTCCAAGAAGATGGCCACATTTCCTCATTCCCCTGCTTCCCCTCAATACTCACAAATCTCTCCTCTTTTCATAATTTTTTTTGTGGAGACATAATTTTAATAAACTTTATATTAGTAGAGTTAATTTGTTGGTAATGACAATATTCAGCAAGTAAAAAGCAGTTTTTGTTTGAATATAAATGTGGGCTAGAAATGACAATCATATTCCAGAGTAACTATTTCATTGTCTATACATTTTTTGTCTTCTGTGTTGAATGTTACATACTAGTGAAAACATACTGTATTTATTTATTTGAGACTGGCTTATTTAACTAAGCTAATGGTTTCCAGTTGCATCCATGTTGTGGCAAAAGACTGGATTTCACTGCTTTTATCTCTGAGTAGTATTCTGTAGCACGACATATTTTCCTTACCCAGTCATTAGTTGATGGATATCTGCATTGATTCCCTATCTTAGCTATTGTGAACTGAGCTGCAGCAAACATGGGGGGTACAAATAATTCTCTCGTGTGCTGATTTCATTTTGTTTGACTAAATTCCCAGGAGTAGGATGACTCCATCCAGTTCCCTGCTTGTGGCCGGACCTGGAAAAAGCTCCTGGCTCCTGGTATGGGATCAGCTCAGCTCTGGCCATTGTAGTCATCTGGAGAGTGAACCAGCACATGGAATATTTCTTTTTCTCTTCTCATCATAGATTTGCCTTTCATGTATATATGCATATACATATATATGCATATGTTTGTATATATGTATATATTTACATATATATATTTAAGGAAAAACTGAAAGTTTTTTTCTCTAAAGTTAGGAACAAAACACAGTTGCCTAATTTCCTCATTTCTATTCATCATTGTACTGAAACTCCTGATGAACATAAATTAAGCAATAAAAAGAAATTAAACCATTCAAATCAGAAAAGGAGAAGCAAAATTACCTCTATTTATATGAATACCGTGATCTTAAATGTACAAAAGAGCTCACAAAACCAGTTGCTTTTTTGTATACTCACAAAGAATATTGTGGAAATGGAATAATTAGGTCAACTGCATTTATAGTATCATCAAAAATGACTAAATACCTAGAAACAAACTAAATGAGATGAATATCACATTGGAAGTTATAAATTCATTGCTGAAAGAAGGCTAAAGCTGTAAATAAATGATGGACTTTCTGTGTTCATGGATTAGAAAATTTAATATTGCTAAGTTGCTGAAACTTTCCAAAGAGAAATACATATTCAATGTAATTTCTATTATATCCCTTATTATATCTTTTACAGAAATAAGAAAATTCATCCTAAATTCTATATGGGAACCGCCCTCCCCCCACAAAAATTTTATATGGGAATTCAAGAGACCTCAATTAGCCAAAACAATCTGGAATAAGAACAAAATTATAAATCGCATACTTCCATTTTCACAGTTTATTATATTAAAATAGTATGACACTGGCTTAAAGATTAATATATACTCTGATAGAGAGCCACAAATAAATCCTTAATGTAAATGGCCAAATGATTTTCAAAAAGGGTGATAAAATTATTAATTAGGGTTAGCATAGTTTGTTAAAACAAACTTTGTTGTGTTCTGGCACAATGGCTCAACAGCTAAATCCTCACTTTGCAAGTGCCAGGATCCCAGGGGGTGCCAGTTCATCTTGTGGCTGCTCCATTTCCCATCCAGATGTCTGCTTGTGGCCTGGGAATGCGGTGTAAGAGGGCCCAGGTCCTTGGGATCCTATACCTGTGTGGGGATCTGGAGAAAGCTTTTGGGCTTTCGCCTGGCCACAGACCCAGCACAAGTTTTGCTGTGGTGAGCATTTGGAGATTGAACAAGAACAGGCGTCCTTTCTCTCACCCCTCCTCTCTCTCTGTGTTTCTTTGTTTATCTAAGGAGTCCAGGAAGTTGGGTGACCAGCCTTGTGGTGCTGTGTGTTAAGCCACTGCTTATGATGGTGACGACTCTTAGCAGAGAACCGATCTGCACCTGTTGGGCTCCAATCCAGTTTTCTGCTCTTATGCCTGGAGAAGCAGCAGATTATGCCCTTTCCGCTTGTGTGGGAAGCCTACACCTAATCCTGTCTCCTGGGATATAGAAGTAGAATTAGTAACATGGGCCATTGGTAATTAACCATATTTAGAAAATGTTTAAAAGAGACATTTCTTTCTTTAAAATTTTATTTATTTTTATTGAAAAGGCAGATATACAGAGAGAAGGAGATATATAGAGAAAGATGTTCTGTTCACTGGTTCACTTCCCAAGTGTCTGCAGTAGCTGAAGCTAAGCTGATCTGGAGTCAGGAGCCAGAAACTTCCTCTGGGTCTCCCACGTGGGTGCAGCGTTCAAAGACATTGGGTCATTCTCCATTGCTTTTCCAGGCCACAAGCAAGGAGTTGGATGGGAAGTGGAGCAGCTGGGACGTGAACTTGCACCCATATAGGATCCCAGTGCACTCAAGATGAGGATTTAGCTACTATACTGTTGATCTGGGCCCCAAAGTGACACTTCTAAATCAGGTTTCAATTTGTATCTGAATAATCTTGAAAAAACACACAAAAAAAATTCCAGAGTTAAATTAACTCTTTTTTTTCTGTAAGGTGATTAAATAAAATTAAGTTTTTGTGTCCAGGTCACTGAGCACTCTCTATTTACTTGTACTTTGGTTAATACAACTATTCAGGGCAAGAAGGAACTTGTCAATGAGAAATTGGCATGATTGTTGAGGACTAAATCCAGGGAGGTATTATTTGTGTTTGAAATAATCTATTTCTAGATTGTGACATTCTGAGAATTTATCCCTGTTTGGGAACTCTTGTTAACATCCAAATGCTAGGATACTCTGCTTTTTGCATTTATTACATTGAGAAAAGAAGAGCCTGAGATACTTTCGCTAAGATAGGAGTATCAGACTTGCCAAGGATGCTGAGATTCACCAATGAGGGGCTGTGCCAGGCTACATCACAGGGCTGTTGGGCTTCAATCAGAGCAACTTGTGTGGTGTGAACTTTTAATATGCCTAGAGGCCACGAAGATTGAGTTGAAGATGCAACCATAATCATTTCATATTTTTATGATAACTGAGAGTTTTGAAAACTTTATTTATATGATAGGTCTTTGAAGTCTTTGAACTCCATAATCGTTGGAGAGACAGAGAAGCATAGTATGCTTATGCTTGAATGAATTAGGAGGGGCATTTCATTAATGAGAATCAAAATCGGGATCAGGTCCTCGGCCTCTAACCGCTTTTGATGTTCTTTCTATCTGAGCACACTGTGTACTTTATTAGGATCTTGTATATAGGAAAAGCATTGCATTAATAAAATAAGCTTAGATTTGTGGGAAAGAATCCTGATTGATTTATATTTGTGATTTGTTACTTAATTTTCTTTTCTGAGTGTTGTCATATTTTTAGAACCAAATCACATTGTGAACAGTAGTTCCTTTTTTTTCCTCACTAGGTTCGAATTACGAAAGGTGTGATTTTGAGGACACTGTCTGTATTATGGCACAAGATCAGGATCTGCACCTTGGTTGGATGAAGAGAAATGGGAAGATGGGTCTGTTCCCTCCATTTTATGATCACAATGGTGATGAGTCTGGTAAATGCTTTGAATTTATTTATTTCCTTTCTTTACTCCATTGTTCTTTCTTCCCTTATCTGCTTCCTTCCTACCCCCCCCAAGTATTTGATTAGTGGAGCAGTATCTTAGACTGATATTTCCATATTAAAAATTATGTCTAATTTTAGGCATTCTTTGGTCATTTACAAAATATTTATGATTCTAAATTTTCTGTTTTTTTCTTTTTTTAATCCATTACATTTCATTTTATGACAGTTTCATAGGCTCTGGGATTCCCCCAACCCCTCTTCGTGCCCTCCCCCCATGGTGGATTCCTCCACCTTGTTGCAGTATTACAGTTCAAATCCAGTCAAGATTCTTTCATTGCAAGCATATACCAAGCATAGAGGCCAGCATGTTATTGTCCAGATGAATTCAACGGTTTCTTGGGGAGAACATCTGTGGTCTGAAGGCAGAGCTGGCAGAATATATGATTCTAAATTTTCACATCACATTCTCATAGTTTGGTTCATGGGATTTCAACATATCTATCTAGCTAACATTTGATATTTTTCCAGTTCTTTTTGCTATGATAATTATAAAGTATAAACATGGAGGCTTGTGCTATGACTTGGCACATATAATGCTAGTATTCCTTATGGGTACTGGCTTAAGTCATGGGTGCTCCACTACCAGTTCAGCTCCATACTAATGGCCTGGGAAACCCTGGAGAATGGCTCTTGTCCTTGGGCTTCTCTACCCATGTGGGCAACCTGGAAGCAGCTCTGGGCTCCTAGCTTCTGCCTGGCCACATTCTGGCCATTGAAGCAGTTTGGGGAGTGAAACAGCTGATGGAAAAATCATCCCAACACTGCCCACTATGTATCTCTGACTTTCAAATAAAAAATTATTTTAAATGATATGAACATTATAATGCTCATTATAATGCTATATAGATTAATTGGGCAATCAGATTTTAACAAATGGACTGAAATCAGCTTTGGCTAGTTACACTTAATTATTAAAGTGGACTAGAAGTCTCTGGAGGGTTGATCACAAGCCTTTGAGGTGATTCTGAAGCCCATAGGGGATGTCGACACCACAGGGCAGAGGGTTAGCTTGCTGTGCCACTGCGATGGCCCTGGAACTTCTGTATAGAACTTATAATAATTGACGAGAGCAAGTCAACCTCATCTCTGGAAAGGGACTGATTCAGAAGTTGGACCAACCACTAACTGTAATACAGGGAGTTTTTAGTATGGATTTAGTTATGTTAGGTGATGGTATTGCATCTTGTTTCCAATAGCAGCCCCTGCAATATTTTCCAAGTGTTTATTGTGTACATCTTTGCTTTAGCGTCAGTACACTATTTTCCTCTTTTTCTCAAAAGAATGGCTGTATTATTTACTGTAGCTGTTTTGAGGGGTAGAATTCCAGCTATTTTTTCTTTGTTGTTGGAGTAGCTGGAACATGAACTGATATCCATATGGGATCCTGACACTTCCAAGCTGAGGATTTAGCCATTGAGCCATCATGCCAGCCCCTCCACTCCACTTTTTTTGAGGGCACTAATACCATTTTTGAAGTTCCATCATCATAATCTCCTCACTTTTGAAAGACTCTGTCTCTTAGTGTTGTTCCATTGGTTTCAATCTTTGAATTTTGCTGGGTGCATATTAAACAGACAGATCACAGCAACATGGAGCCAACAGATCTTCCAGTGCTTGCTGAGGGACACTGTGTGCCTGTTGGCTGATGCACCTTCAACATTCATCCAGGCTGCTGAAACTGCCTCTGTTTCCCTTTTCTGCTCTCATAGAGGCTAAAGAATGCTTGGAGCTTTTCTCATCCTTCCTATGCATTTGCACACTTCTATTTTGCAGCAACACATTGGGACTTCTAGAATTCCTTCCCAATATTTCATTTCCCATGAGCTTTGTGGTTAGTTCATTGCTTGCTCCACTTGTCACACAATACCTCAGGAAACTATAAAGTTAAACTACTTACTATGAATTATTTTCAGCAAATATTTCTATAGTGAATTAGTTTTTTGCATTTATAGAGCTATTACTGTGTTCAGTTTTAAGCAACTTTTTTTAGTGAGTTCTGTCAGGGTACCACCAGATATAGAAAATATTGATGGTCTTGATGAATGGGGAATGGACACAGCTCTTGTTCGATTGTGTTCATTCCGGTGCATTCTGGGTTGAGCCAGAGGTGTGCTGCTATTTTTCAGTTACTATGGCAGTGGAATGGACAAGGAGTCCAGGACATATTAAGAAACTATAAAATTCATTGCTTTTGGTGAGATTTGTCTATTTCTTGAATAAAGTTTTCCATTGCTGCAAGTACTTGGCTGCTTTACAGAATACTGGAAAAGTCAACTTTAACCATGTGTGCCAGTGTATAAATTGTCTTTATGGAGAAAAATTTCAAAGGTGTTTATTCCAGCATTTTTTATTAATATAGCCCTTATTTTATTGTGCTTTACGTTCTTCTAAAATGATTCACCTGGCCTTTTGTCACAGTAGCCAGAAATTTTTTATTGTGGCATGTGTATATAAGTTGCCAGCAATCCATAAGCAGTAACTACTTGTGGGTTTCCTTTGAGAGATATAATGCAGTTGGAACAACTATTATCTGGTTGTATTGAGTTTACTGAATGGGGATGAGACAAAATTAATATTCCAATGGAAGCAATATAACAAATGACAGATTGTACAAGCTTGAAGATGGTTTAGACCTTGGATCTATTTTTTTCTTAATATGCATCAACATATATATTTATTTACTTGAATTCAGAGAGGAATCTTCCACCTGCTGGTTTATTCCCCAGATGATCACAACAGCTGTTGGCTGGGCCAGGCTGCAGTTAAGAGCAGCAATTCCATCTGGATCTCCTCATGGGTGGCAGGACCTCAAGTATTCATCACTATCCACAGCTCGCTAGGTGTAGTAACAGGGAGCTGAATTAGAGACAGAGAGAGTATCAGGGGATCCCTGTGTCCCACAATGTGGGACACATCCTTGAAAAGAAAGATGTTCATTACTGCCAAGGTCAAAGGAACTGTAGTTGTTCCTGAATGTAAGATTTAATGAATATAAGCTAAATATTAATATTTATTTAATATTTAATAAAACAAAGTGATTTATAGTGTCATAACATGTATCAACATGATTTATATTCATGAAATGTGTTAAAGTTTCAGTATTTATATGAGATTTGAAAAATATGAATGTAAATGCTATTTTCGTTTAATGGCTTAGCATTTTAAGTCAAGTCTTAGTTTTAAAGCCAAGCTTTCAAAAGATACAATTAGGACCCAGTGCTTTAACCTAATGGCTACTTGCTCCTTGTACATGCTGGGATCCCATATGGGCACTGATTCGTGTCCCAGCTGCTCCACTTCTCATTCAGTTCCCTGCTGTGGTCTGGGAAAGCAGTAGAGGATGGCCCAAAAGTCTTGGGACCCTGAACCCAAATGGGAGACCTGGAAGAAACTCCTGGCTCCTGGCTTCAGATTGGTTCAGCTCTGGCCATTCCAGCCAATAGGGAAGTGAACCAGTGAAGGAAGATCTTCCTGTCTCTTCTTTTCTAAGTAAATCTGACTTTCCATTAAAAATATGGTTAATAAAAATTTTTCTTGATGAATTAAATTATTTTTCTCTATTTCTTATGATGAATATAATAGGAGAATATTAAATTATAATTTAAGGGATATTCAAAACAATGATCACTTGCATTGGTAATAGTATTTAAACTGAGAAAACTATATCCACAAGGCTGTTGCTGTTTGATTATTTAATCATACAATATTTGCTTACCTGATGCAAGAGCTGACTAATAATATCCCACTGGTGTCTCCATGATACTAACTCTTCATCTAAATTAAGTTCATATAATAATTCTAGGGAGTATGGTTTTAGAATAATCTGTTATGGTAGTAATTTTTAATGTCTCACTGTAAGAAATTAGTAATTCTGTTTCTTCTTCGAGTTCAGTTTTGAAAGTGAAATGCAGAAACTTTTTAGGTATTGTAATTATACCATTGATTAGCTATCATCATCTGCTTCATTTTTTTTTTTTTGTTCCTTTGACATGTGTCAAATAGAGAAGAACCAAACATTTGTTCTCAAATTATGAACATAATCCTTTTTGTGAAAAAAGATTTATTTATATTGGAAGGGCAGATCTACAGAGAAAAGGAAAGACAGAAAGACATTCCTTCCACTGATTCACTCCCTAAGTGGCCTCAATAGCTGGAGCTGAGCTGATCTGAAGCCAGGAGCCAGGAGCTTCTTCTGCGTTTCCCATGCTGTTTCAGGGTCCTATGTCTTTAGGCTCTCCTTGATTGCTTTCCCAGACCACAAGCAGGGAGCTGGATGGGAAGTGGAGCAGCCAGGATATGAACTGGCATCCATATGTGTGGCAAGGACTATAGTTACCAGGCCACTGTGCCAGAAGTGAACATAACCCTTTTAAAGAAGTGGAAGAAAATCTATGCCATCCCAGGATGTGGATATGCTCAATGCTAGTTTGATAGCCTTCAAAACAGTGGCAGGTTACTGGCCTTGCAGGTACTGTAGCAAACAGAAAGCCATTGGCACTCAATGTTCATTTCCACAATCGTAGGAAAAACTGGGAGAGACTTTCTGATTCAACTTTTTCTGGACAGAAACACTTGTGACGGTCTCTTTTGAAGTTTGATTGAATTACATATTTTGGTATATAGTCCCAATAAAAAAATTATTTTACCTGTGTATCATCTTGGCAAAGTTTTAATCCTCTATGTTAGATATGGTACATTTGATTTTGTTTCTATACCATTATAGCAGTACCGGAAATATAATCAGAATTATTTATTTTATAGAATATTAATATAAAGAAAAATATAAGACCATTTAGAAAAGAAAATAATGTGTTTCAGTGAGTCACTCTTTGATCAAAGTTACACTGACATGTCATGGTTGTATGCTTCAGCTATTACTAGTGTTTAATTTCCCAGTAATCATTCAAAATTGAACATACTGACTCTTGTTTTTGGCAGCCCACTTCCTTTCCTTGGTCTCCCAACTGAATTCTACTTCCTCACATTTAAGAAGCAGAGTTTTCCTCTCAACCCATAACCAACATGCTTGTCAGGTATTTGAAAGCCCGATGCATTTTGAATATTTTATCACATTCGGTACCTTCTTTGTTGTAATTATTTGTACATTTCTTTCTTTCTTCCTTTCTTTCTTCCTTTCTTTCTTCCTTTCTTTCTTTCTTTCTTTCTTTCTTTCTTTCTTTCTTTCTTTCTTTCTTTCTTTCTTTCTTTCTTTCTTTCTTTCTTTCTTTCTTTCTTTCTTCCTTCCTTCCTTCCTTCCTTCCTTCCTTCCTTCCTTCCTTCCTTCCTTCCTTCCTTCCTTCCTTCCTTCCTTCCTTCCTTCCTTCCTTTCTCTCTCTCTCTCTCTCTCTCTCTGTCTCCTCCCTCCCTCCCTCCCTCCTTTCCTTCCTTCCTTCCTTCCTTCCTTCTTTCCTTTCTGTTCACAGGTTACATTTTATTACTTCCTCAGCCATGAGAGCTGTAAATTAACGGTGGGACTTCAAAATGCATGCAGTGGTCGTGTTCAGCATTTATGGCACAATGAAGCTGGGCTCCAAAATCAATGGGAGAGAAAGGTCATCAAAATCCAGAGCTCACAGAAATTTCAGGTTGGTTTGTTCTGTTCTCCAGTTACATTTTTGGGCGGGGGGAGAAAAATGTTAACATCTGCTTCTTCAACACCAAATGACTTAAAAGTACAGTGACAATCCCTGTTAGCTGGGGCATGTCTCAGGATTTTAAGTACTGGAAGTGGAAGGGGCTAGGAAAATCGGGATAGTTAGTTCTCCTGGAAGTCATTTCTATAATAGTGTTTAGAATTGACATCTCAAAAACAAAAGCTGATATGTTCAAAGATATATCAGTAAGCATGATTTTTAATTTGCACCTTATTTTCTCAAGCTCTTCTATTTTGCCTCTTACCATTTTAATCTCCATTTCCTTTTCATTCTTTCCTTCCAAGAGTAATTTTCTTTCCAACCTAGATAATATTCAGTCATGAGGAAAGAAACTACTTGATCTAAACATTAATTCCACTTAGAAAATGTCTTTATACCTGTAAGAATTAGAAATAGCCAAGGTTTTAATTCTTTGTGATAAAATTCATATCAGCAAATAATGGCAATGAAATAGATTTGCACATAAAATATTAATTTCAAATGCTGTTGAGGTAGAAACATTGTTATTTTCATTTCATGATTAAGCTCATTTCAATTCAGTCTTTCTTCACAAAAATAATTTTGGGATTTAAAGATGATGAGATTAAAGTAAGGCACACTCGTTTATCCAGTCTAATAAGACTTTCACATGGTGAAAATTATAATCTAGTGATTGTTATAAGAGTTCCTGGGAATGTGTTGCACTCGATCATTTAAGATAATCAAACAAAATTTTCTATTTAAAAATGGGTTTTTAATGCAGATTACTGCTAATAAATTTACTTCCTAAACAGGGCTGTGTAGAGGTTTAGAAACAAGTTTAGAGATTTCTTTTATTTTTTTTTAATAGATTCACTTTAAAATGTTTCATTTGAAAAGCAGCTACACAGAGATAAGGAGAGAGAGGCAGAGAGATTTTCCATGCACTGGTTAACTCTCCAAATGGCTGCAACAGTTGGAATGAGCTAATCTATAGCCAGGGATCTGGAGCAAGGAGCTGGTTCAGAAGTGGGACAGTCAGGACTTGAACTTGTGCCCATGTGGGATGCTGGTGCCGCAGGTGGAGGCCTACCCTACTATGCCATGGCACTAGGCTTGACCTCCTTTATCATTTATAATCAGATGATAGGAAGTAGCTAATCATATGATGTGTAATAAATTTAATACTTATTTAAATGTTGATGTAAATTGGGATGAATTTTACCTGGTTACAATCTGGCCCAGCCAAGTCTGTTGTGGCCATCTGGAGAGTGAATCAATGGATAGAATCTCTCTATTTCTTACCCCTTTCTTTGTAATTCTGACTTTGACATAAATAAAATAAATCTTAAAAACATCCCAGTTACCGGGCTCAGTGTGATGGCCTAGTGGCTGAAGTTCTCGCTTTGAATGCGCTGGGATCCCGTATTGGCACTGGTTCTAATCCCTGCGGCCCTGTTTCTGATCCAACTTCTAGCTTGTAGCCTCTTCCAGGTCTCCCACTCAGGTGCAGGGTCCCAAGGCTTTGGGCGATCCTCAGTTGCTTTCCCAGGCCATAAGTAGGGAGCTGGATGGGAAGTGGGGCCACAGGGATTAGAATCAGAGTCCATATGGCATCTTGGCACGTTCAAGGCATGGACTGTAACTGCTAGGCTACTGCACTGGGCCCCACATGAGTATTCTGTTTGGTCAAGAAAGCACAACTGTCTGAAGTGTCACAGGTTAACAGACCTCTGGGTAGGTTGTATCTATTTCTCTTTGGATTTAAAAAAGAGATAGGAACAGAGAATTGCTGTCTGTGAGTTCATGCTCCCAAATGCACACATTGGCTGAGACTGGGACAGGGTGTGGGCTGAAGCCAGTGACCAGGAACCCAAACTCGTTTCCTATGTGAGTGGCAGCAACAAAACTGCATGGCCTTCACCATTACCTTCCAGGGGCTGCATTTGCAGGAAGCTGGAATTAGCAGCCAGAGACAGTCTGAAATTGAATCCAGATACTTCTCTTTGATTTGTGGGGATCCCTAACTAGTGACATAAATTAAATGGTAGAGGTCATGGCGCAATAGCCTATTGACTAACGTCCTCACCATACATGCACTGGAATCCCATATGGGTGCCTATTTGTGTCCTCGCTGCTCCACTTCCCCTCCAGCTGCCTGCTTGTGTCCTGAGAAAGCAGTCAAGGATGGCCCCAAAGCCTTAGGTCCCTGCACCCGTGTGAGAGACCCAGAAGAAGCTCCTGGCTCTTGTTTCTCCCTCTCTCTGTATATATGCCTTTCCAATAAAAAGAAATAAATGTAAAAAAAAAATTAAATGGTAAACCTAATTTCTACCTCTGTCATTGAATTTTAATAGAGGTAGACAGTGTCTGGTTTGAAAGACATAGGAGAGATCTACCAAAGGTTAATGAAAAATGCATATTAATGAAAACACAATGTATGAATTTCAAAATTATTTGTGTTAAAATAAACATATTTAAATTAACAGAGCCAGAGGTGAACATGCAGCACCATAAGAACCAGAGATCAAGAGAAAACCTAGTTTCAAAAAATCGAAAATGCCAGATAATTTTACAAATAGGAACTTGGACAGAGAAGGGTGTAACACAGCAACTAGCTGAGTGTTGTTTCCTTTCCCTTTGCTGAGCTGGCAGTTGAAGTGTGGCAATGACTATCCAATTTTCGTTCTTAACCATTTTTGCTTAGATGCTTTTCTACTAGGTATTGGCATGGTCACCTAAGTGCATCTATAAAATGTTGTGTTTTTGTAGGTTCTCTTCTTGAAGACTCTGAGACAGTGATGTTCCTTCCTTTGTGATATTTTTCTTGCACAGGTTGTTTTTCAAGGTCAAATGATTTCAACTCATGGACAAAATGAAGTCATAGCTATCGATGATATATCTTTCAGTCCTGATTGCTTCCCTGCTTATGGTAAGACCTTTTGTCTCATTTTTATTCCTGAAATGTATTGCAAATATAGCTACATTTAAAAAATTTAATGGATTTGATCTGTTCTTCAGTCTTGGCCATGGGTTTAATGTGGATTATTGACTGTTGTTCTAATACATGACATAATAGTGACTGGAGTTATAATAAAAGCAAAAATAGATGATTTCACTGACTTGAATACTGTGAAAAACTACATGGGATAATTTAGCCTCATATTTAAAACCTTACAGTGATATTTATTCTGGCTAGTAAAACTTTGAAAAGAGAATTCTGTGTCATCTAGGACGCTGGTAGAAAACTGGTTTCCATAGACTTGAGATTGGATGCTTAGAGAACTTACTTTATTATTTTATTAAAAACACAAAATGGAGAGAGATATTACTTATAATTTATTCTCTGCTTATTCTAAAATATATCAGTAAATCATATCTCATATATTAGACTTAAAAATGACTTATGTTTACCCCTTGGTTATATCAACCAGATAAGATTGATTGCACATTTTTATTGTTCTCAATAAAATATTCAGTACTAAAACCATAATTCCATCAAAACAAATAATTTAATCAGTTGACCAAAAGCCATACATGTGAGTGTGTATATAAATGGATTTCAAAATTTGAAGATCAATCAAGTAAAATATAATGCAATTTTCCCATGAATTTTTTGAAACCTTGTTACATATCTGATGGATATCTTTATTTCTTTTATAAATGTTATTATATATGAAATGATTAGCAGAATAAAGAGTGTTGGTGTGTAGACAAATGTTCTAAGTCCTAATTTGATGAAAAAATATGGTAGTTATGGTAAAAACTTTTTAAAGTCAGAAGAAATGTGGTAGTGGTATCTAGAGAGCTTAGAAGTTTTGATAGGCAGTGTCTGCGTTGTGCTTGGATTTTAACAGTATTGCTAAGGTGAAGGAGCTCGTAGATATGATATACATCCCTTGCCTCACAGACCGAGGTAGAGTTTTATAAGACAGCTCCTTCAAACACTGGGATACGTAAAGTTGTGTTTCATTTTTGCGTTACTAGTACACTGTTCAAATTAGGTGAGAAATCACTATATATTGTGATACATAGAAAATTGAAATGGAGAACTTAAAAGGAACTTATTGTATCCTCCCTTGAGCTCCCTGTAGGAAGTAATTGAAGTATCAACCTCAGTGTGTGTTCAGTAAAATAAGTTGGCATGTATTAGATTTGTCAGAAATTATGTATCAGAGAAGAGGAACAATGGCAGCTTAAGGTATAAACATATTTGGGATGACAGAGAATCATTAGACAGGTGAAGCACAAGGAACAGATTACAGGAAAAGATAAAGGTCAGGCAGTTAGTGGTGGAGTACTTGCAGACCCCCTGGACACAGGGAAGCTGCGGCGACAGCAGAGTGGTGTTGCAGTGAACAGAAAACCCACCAGTGGCTGGTGAGTGGAGATCCAGAATCCAGTGACAGCCAGGGATCCAGCAGCGGCCACTGCTCAGCTCTTGAGGTAGCCAGGTGGGAGCTTGAGTTCATGCAGGGAACTTGGGAAGAGAATGTACACTGAGACCTACCAATCCTGCTGAATAGTGTGGCCCAGCAACAAGCAGAGAAATAATGGCAGGCTCCAGGGCATGGAACAGTGGCAGGATGGAAATCAGAGCATGGAGATCGGATGCCATCTTGTGTGGTGTAGCAGAGAGTACGGGGTTGAGGGGTGGGTTTGTTTCTGGCTGATCACACTAAGCTGATCCCATGGGGATGGCCGTATTAGCTTCGTGTTCTGCAGGGTCTATGTGGTCCCCTGATCTAGTAGATCTAATAGCTAGCAGCCCAGATTCTCCATCAGTGCCCCGCCTGGGTGCCATGTTGTGTAGTGGGGCAGAGAATACAGATTTCAAGGGACAGCCCAAATGGGCTCTTTTCTAGCTCATCACCCTGAGCTGAGCCCACAGAGAAAGCAGTGCCAGCCTCACATCTTGCAGGGTCTGAGTGGTCCCCAGATTTGACGGCTGACAGCCCTGGATCTATGTCAGTGCCCTACGGGGTGTTATCTTGTACAGAGGGGCAAGGGCTCAAGAGTAGGTGGAACAGTGGTAAACTGCACATGTGCAAAATCAGTAGTGCTCAGATGCCATTTTCACAGGACCAGGCACTGTTAGACTGAAGGAAGGACAACTGAGCTGCCTAACAGCTAAGCTCGGAACAAAAACACTCCTCAGAAAAAACAGTTCTGTTGCAGCACACTACAGACTCCACCCAAAATAACTCCAGGTGGCACTTAAACTTAATGGCCAACATGTGTCAAGAAGATCAGTGCCACTGACAAGCCAGTTATTTAGGACAGCTGGTGTCATCCAATCCAGTACACTGATTGAACATAAAAATCGACTTGTAGACCTGTAATCTTTGAAACCTGCACTAAGGAGAAGAGTCTGCCAATAAGAATTGCAATGACAAAAGCTAAGAGACAGAGACACAGTGAATGTTACTGAAGACTTCTCCGAAGAAGAAGAAAAAACAACTCTGTGAAAAAAATGTGCAAAGGAAATGAATAGATATTTTTAAAAGAACAGATTCAAATGCTTAACAGACATGTGAAAAGATGCTTAGGCTCCCTAGCCATCAGGGAGATACAAATAAAAACCACACTGAGGTAAAACCTAATTCCAATAAGGTTGACCTATACTCAGAACTCTATTGACAACACCTGCTGGCATCAATGTGGGGAGAAAGGTACTCTACTTCACTGTTGATGGGAATGCAGGCTAGTACAACCACTTTGGAAATCAGTATTGAGAGTACTTAGAGAATTGCAGATAAACCTGCCATATGACCCAGCTATCCTGTTCCTAGGAATACCCAAAGGAAATGAAACCTTCATATGAGAAGGGGATATGTAATCCTATATTTATAGCAGCGCAATCTACAATAGCAAAGACATAAAAACAATCCAGATGCCCATCCAGAGAGGAGTGGTTAAAGAAACTGTGGTACATTTGCTCCATGGAATATTATTTGACCAATAAAAAGAATGAAATTATACCATTTGTAAACAAATGGTCCCAACTAGAGACCATTATGCTCAGTTAAGTAAGTCAATCCCAAAAGGACAAATACCATATGTTCTCTCTAATATAAGGAAATAACTGTGCAAATTTTAAGTTCAATAACCCTTTCCATATTGTTTTTGCCATATCCCATGTGCTTTGATGTTTTTGTTTTCATTTTCATCTCTTCCAAATGGTTTCTTTTCTCTTGTCGAATTCATTGCTGACTCGTGGATCACACAGTGGCATGATTTTACCCAAGAGGCTTTTCTGTTTTCTTTTCATCATCCATGCATTGGTGATTCAGTGTCACAGTTTTTTGACTCCATGGTGCTGCGTTTTTTTTCTTATTTTTTGCTTTAGTATTAACTTCATACCTGTTTTTGACCTTATTTTATGGGTTCTCATTTAAGGGAGTACAGTGATGGAGTAACAGAGACTATCTTATCCAGATGTGAAGATGCATTGCAACATGCATTCCTGCTTCCAAGCAAAAAATAGACTCCCAATGAACCTGTTGGACATGTCTAGACAATGGGGTGCTGGACGGTCTGACATTGTCTGTACCAGCAATGTTGGGGCACACTTAAATAACAGACTGATGGAATTATAATTCCTTATGACGGGCTATAGTATTGTAACAGTATGGGTTAAATCAGTCGGGGGTGGGAATTTGGGGGATCAAATCCCCGACTTTATAGAATTATAGCATAAAATTCAATATTTGGAATAAATATTAACAATAAAAGAAGTGATATATCAGGAAGTTAAATGCTTACTGCACTGCTGCTCACATTTCCCTTAAAATTCCCCGTTCTGCTGCCCTGAATAGTCATCCTGTAGCCAGAGCATAGTTAACTTATTTTTTTTTCTTGGTAAGACAACTGGTGCCTGATTCAGATTATTTAGGTAATGTTTTTACATGTTTCAGTTTTATAATTTCTGCAGAAATAGAGATTGCCAAACAAAATGATTCCTCACTAGTTTTATTCACTAACCAGCATTACTAACCACACACAAAGTAGAAAACAGCAAAGAAATCAACTGCTGCCTGAATTTTTGTAAGTTTTCGGATGTTAGGCACTCTGGTTCCTGACCTTGAAACTTTATTCACATTATAAACTTATAACAGAACATATTTGGATAGACTTCGGAGTTGATATTGTCCTTAATAAGACTCTACCATCATTTCACAAATGGCAATTTTGTTTTGCATATTTTATTCTGGGAATCAAAATGATTTTGTTAATTACTCATGGTACACCTACAGGAACAAAAGCGTGTTCATAACAAATATTCCAAAGACCAAGTGCCAGATCTTGTAGTCAACCCTTGGAAAAGCTCCATAAAATAACTGTGGGTATAAAAAACTAACTGTGACTAATGCAGGTATGGAGAAAAGTTGGGAGGAGGAAGTGTGTAGAACAAATGTTAATTGAAGAAATACATGGATTTCCAGTTGTCCCTGCATTTCATCTCTTCCCTCTCTTTAAACTTAGCAGATGAAATTTTACCATGTCAAGAAGTGTCTGAGGCCAATCAGGAACTGTGCCACCCAGATACAGACCTCTGTAGATTTGATTCTACAGAAGGATCGAGAGGTAAGTTTTAGGCCGAGGTGTCCACTTTGCTGGTGTATAGGCGCTTCTCGAGAGTCAGAGACTTCCACATGGAGGAGCACTTGCCAATCTTTGTTGACATTAAGGTTCTAGCTTTGGCTGGAGTGCTAATGGAAGTCTATGGTTCATTTAAAATGGAAAAATATGGTATATGCATGTTTGTAAATATATACTTGCAATATTTACATACATTGTGAGGATGGGAATGGCCAAATTTTTTAACTTAGCAAATCTATGTGCATTCCTTTTGCTTTTCTGTATTATTTTAAGTATTGACAAACAAAAGAGGGCTTGACATAAAAATAAACTTTGAGAAATGATTAGAAAAATAAATAGAAGATGAAAAAACAAAATGCATTATATAAGGTGATATCTTAAAAAACAATTAAAGAGCATGTTGGAATCATAGGCAGGGTTTCTCTTTTAAAATATTGTTATGATTAGTAGTAGTTAAGATTTGTATTAATTTTTCCAAAGATTTATTTTTGTTACTTGAAAGGCAGATTTATAGAGAGAAGAAGAACCAGGGAGAGAAAGATTTTCCATTTGGTTCATACCTCAAATTGTCACAATGGCTGGAGCTGAGCTGATCTGCAGCCAGAAGCCAGATACATAGTGTACCATGATACCATGTTGTAGGGGTTCATCCCTCCCATTTGCTTCTTCCTCCCATTTCCCCTGGCTATTATTCCAGTTTTCTATGAGCTTTGAAATATTTTTATTTTTAATATATTAAACATTTTAATATAAAAAAATTTAAATGTTTTTATTCATTTTGAGATAACATTTAAATTACAGCCTAAAAAGTTTTATGTGAGTAAAGTTTTATTATATTATTAAAATTTTCCCCCACATTATAGATTTACATGCGTAGGGGATCATCCTACCCCTCTCACTTCTTTCTCACCAAATGCCCTTCCTAATTATTTGTCACCAGCTATTACAATGATATTATCACTCATTTAACTGTTAACAGGCCTCATTTCACTGTTGGAGGCCTAACATTCTGGTATATAATTGTATCATCACATGACAAGTGTAGGAAAAGGAAGAACGTGCTTTGGGAACCTGACCTATGTGAGAGAGCTTGAAGAGGCTCCTGACTTTGGTCGGCTCTGCTACAGACTTATGGCCATTTGGAAGTAAATCTGTCGATGGAAGACATTTCTCCATGTTTGTCCTCTCTGTAAATTTGCCTTTCTAATGAAAATATACACATCTTTAAGAAAAAAAGTTGCAATCTTCATAATGGTAGGAGAAATAGTAGAACTTCTTTGTGCCAATGATTCTCATTGAGAGGATACACATTGTATTAACTGGCAAAGTTTTGAGGAATAGTTTCCACTGTGCTCTAAATCTTACTGCATCAAGATTTCCAGACAGCATCTGTGTGCATGTGTGTATATGTGTGTGCAGATTGCACTGTTAGTTGAGCATAACAGATATGTTGGGTGAACATCCATTGTTGGAGTTCATAGCAGTCTACCAAGACCTTTTTCTCCCATCTTCAGAGTGTCATGCCTGTGGATTTGAGTCTGATATGTGTGACTGGACATCAGAAGCATCTACTGATCATGCGTCCTGGATGCGGACAAGAGCAAGTGACATTCCCACATTAGAATCCGCACCTCAGCAGGATCACAGTGGCCATGATGAAGGTACTAGAGGAAAAGAATGTGCTGTATGTGTTAGCTTTAGAATTCTCCTTCATTGGAACAAGACACTAATGAACATACTGTAAATCTTTTGCTGAAATATATCTTAGTTCAGACACAGAATAGTTAATTTCCCCTCTCTCAGCTGCAGCCTTAATTATTATGACTTTTTGCTCTCATGACCTGTTAGGGCAGTTTCATGTAAAACTCACGGAAGTCTAAGATGCCTCGCTGAGTAAGGGTTCCTTCCAAGTTGTTTTTTTTTGTTGTTGTTTTGTTTTGTTTTGTTTTGTTTTGTTTTGTGGTCAGACTTGTCCACACCAAGTTTGTTTTAGGTTTTTTAGTTGAGGAACTGATGCCCACAGAGAACCGCACTCTTGGCTTTTGGCACTAGTAGAATGTGATACTCTGTGTCTTCTTGACTCTCTCCAATCCTGCAACAGTGGCTAACACCGTGACCTCAGTTCTCTAATGGTCTGTAAGAAGCTGTTAATTTTATTTGTCCAGATTTTCTATTAGTCTGAGGGACAAAGTAGTATAGTTCCCTATCCCAAGACTTTACCTTTTTCAGGAGAGTTAGACTGTTTCCTGCCTTTTGAAACATTAAAATTGGTCACAATCCATGCTGCCATAACCTGCTTATGATTTCAAACTCCATTCTTTGAGATGTTTTAACTTGTCTTAATCACTCCGGTTTTTAAAGTTTTCTTTGTGATTATTTGTACACCAGAGGCCAAGTGCAAAACTCACGGTGCTATTTTGATTAAAACCCATTTTTTTTTCCTAGGAAGTGAAAGTTTCTGTTAAATTTGTAGTCCATACTACAGTAGAATAGTTAATTTATGCAGGCATGAAGTATTTCACACTTTTTGAATAATGAAATTGTAAAAAAGCTGGGTTAGATGTGGAGCAGCTGGATCTCAGTATCACAGGTATCTTTACAGGTTTAACAGAGCTCTGGCACCTAGAAATAACTGTGCATCTCTGCACTCATCAACATTGGTACATGCAAGAACAGTGTAATAGTTTCTTGGAAGCGCTAAGTGTCAGATGAGTAAGAAAGTTGACAACGTTTTTGTGTAGTACAAAATCCATAAATGCAATTTATCATTCCATGTTATTTGATAATAGCATCTTAAATTGCTTTCAGATTTTAAATAAAATTTTGACATTTTAAATTTAAGTTTTAAATTGAAAAAATTTGTTGAAAATCCTGTAAAGGCTTTTCAAATAATAATTAAAGGACAAATTGTGGAAGAACAAAGAAGAATTTTTTTTTTCCCAAGGAGGAAAATGTTAATATTTTGGTAGGGAAAGAATTTTTGTATTTGTAGTTTTTTAAAAATGAAAGATAGTATCAAGGCTGTTATCAAAGGATTTCAAGAATTAGACATTTGAGAAATCACACATAAGAATGAAAGTAGTGTTTATGCTTGATATAACCATTTTAATATTTTTATATGTCTTAAAATATTTGTAATTCATTCTAGGGTTGGAAATTTTCAGAAATATAATTTTGTTCAGATATAAAGTAGATAAGTGCTTTCCTAAAAGATTTTTCTTTTGTTTTTCAGGTTACTATGTATATGTTGCGGCTAAGCATGGTTTTATTCTTAGCGAATTAGACAGCAGGGCTTATCTAAAGAGCACTGTGTACCACTGCTTGGGCAACAGCTGCCACTTTCAATTCCATTACTATATGGAAAACAGTATTTTGAGAGTAAGGTTGTATAATAATAAGGTAAGAAAAAATGTATAATAGTCTAATTTATTGAATAAATGAAATTTATATTCTTGATAGCCTGGCATTTCTACAAGCATTTTTCAGCTGTATGTGTGCTTTATGTATCTTCATTTTATTCACTATAGTTTTTTTTTTATTTATGTATTTTTAAATATTTAATTATTTACTTGAAGAGGCACAGTTAGAAAGATAATGAGAATGGGAAAGTGAGAAAGAGATCTTCTGCCAAATGATTGACTTCCAAAATGATTGCAGCTGCTGGGGACGGCCCAGGCTGAAGCCAGGAGCCAGGAACGTCTTCCATATTTCCCACCTGGGTTTAGGTGACCACGCTATTAGAGCATCCTCTGCTGCTTTCCTAGGCACACCATCAGGGAGCTGCATTGAATGAGAGCATCTGGGACTTAAGCTGGTGCCCATGTGGGTTCCCAGCATGGAAGCCAGTTACTTAACCTGTTGTATCACAGCATTGGCCCCATCAGTGTATTTTCATTTATTCATTCATTTATTTTTTAAAAGGTTGATTTCTTCTTTTTTTTAAGATTTATTTATTTTTATTTGAAAGGCAGATTTACACAGAGAAGATAGAGGAGAGAGAAGAAATAGAGACAGAGAAAGAGAGAGATTGATTGATTGATTGATTGATTGATTGATTTAGCTGGTTCAACTTCCCAAATGGCTACAATGGCTGAAGTTAGGTTGGTCCCAAGTGAAGAGCATGAAGCTTCTGGGTCTCCCATATGAGTGCAGGATTCCAGGGCTGTGGGCCATCCTATACTGATTTCCCTGACATGCTAGAACACAGATGGATCAGAAATGGAGCAGCTGGGACATGAGTTGGTTTCCATGTTAGCAGTTGAGCCATTGCACTGGCTCTTTGGTAAATTTTTAAAGGTTTGTAGTTATTGATGAAAAAACAGATTAAGCATTTGCTTAAAACCTGACACAGCAGGTGAGGTGACAGCTGCGATGATTATACTAGTACTACAACCAATTCGGGCGTTTTAACCTACTGTTAGTTGAAGAAAATCTGCACGTGGGAAAATACCAGACACGGGGAATTTCTATTGAGAATAATTTTTACTTATAGATGGGAATAAGGGAAAAGACAGCCATTTCTAAAGTGAAACAAATTCAGCAATAAGTGCAGGGATTCTGACAAAAGCAGAGGACAATACTAAAAGGATACAGGTTAGTTTTCTGGTCTCAGAATGCTTTGTTCAACTTTTTTTTTTTAAAGATTTATTCATTTTTATTACAAAGTCAGATATACAGAGAGGAGGAGAGACAGAGAGGAAGATCTCTTAGATTTCTTGGCCCTGATCATCATACAGCTAGATAATTAAGAGAGCATTTGAGTAAATGTGAGAGTAGAATTTGGGGAATGAGTCATGTCTTTTTCTTCATCGAAGGAAGAAGAAATACTTTGGACATACAACACATCAACTCACAGCAAATGGGTGAAAACAGATGTGTTAATACCAGATTATCTGAAGATATTTCAGGTATGAAAAGAAAAACATTTTTTAAATCTTAAGATTAGCTTTTACCTTTTAATAATGAATTTATCTTCTACCGCAAAATTTAGATGAAATTTTTTAAGGATGGAAGGTAATATATCTAAGGAAAGTGATTGGCCATTTCTTTTCTCCTTCATACTCCCCCTCTTCAGGTCCAGTTGCCCTGAGTGTTGCAATCATTGTGTGTCACTGTTAGAGCTTACTCATTCTCTGGATTCTCTGTCCCAGCACTCTCCAGCACCATGCACCACACCTAGGAAGCATAGTATATTATGAAGCTGATACATAGTACTGATGTTGAAATTCAATGGGTTATTTACAAATGAATGCAGTAATTCATGCTTTTATAATGTTCTGGTAACTCCCTACATATTAGGGTATGTTTGAAACATCTACGAATTACTTAGTGGAATGCGGTCTTAAAAAAAAATAACTCATTGTAGCTAACGTATGGATCCAATGTTCATCAACTGATGGCAGAATGAACACACTGGTATATACACAGAATACTAAACAATAAAAAAATATGGTTCTATCTTTTTAAAAATAATGGATGTAATTGGAGATCATTATGGTTAGTGAAACAAGCCTCTCCAAAGAGAAAGTATCATATGATTTCTCTGGTTTATAGTAATTAATACACATTGTATATTAGTTAAAGTTATAAAAATGTGTATAAAAAACATTGACATCTTGTTATTTAACTGTTTTGATAGCCCTTATATATAGTCTTAAGGAACAATGGTTTTTCTACTTACTACTTGAATCCTTTATTTTGTGGAGGGTTAAGTCTGTGATTATAAAGTAAATTGAAAGTATGCCATTATAAAAGTATAAAGAAAAATACGGAGGAGGGAAGCTAAGAAGCAGGAATAACATAGTGTTGAAAGTATCACTATGCTGTTAAAACTGCATACAATGAAATACATGAAATTTGATCACCTTATGTAAATGACAATAGTTTGAAAAAATAGCAGGGTTTTATGTTGCATGTTGAGTTGCGTATTGATTTGTGTATAATGTGACGTTGATTGGATGAAAGAACTTCAAAAAGTTCATTTAAGGTCCACCTTAAATTTGTTGAGGAAATTTTAATTTTATTTTTTGGGCAGAGAGGGAGAAGAAACAGAGTGCTTCCATTTGCAGTTTTTACTCATCAACTTCTGGGAGCTTGGAACTCAACCGAAGCCTCCTGTGTGGGTAGCTAGGACCCAAAACTTGAGTCATTACCCGTTGCCTTTCAAGGTTTGCATTAGCAGGGAGTTGGGACAGAAGCATGGCCAAATGTGACCCAGTCCCTCCAGTATGGGATGTAGCACTTTAATTACTGCACTGAAGAACCATATCACATAATCTATTTTTGTTCTGTATTTTATTTAGACAATTAAAAACAGATGTTTTCAGGCAGGCACAATTAAAAAAAAGAAAGAGACTGTTTTATCATGCATTTTATCATTTCTTCTTTGCAACCAAGGAGCGGGGGAAAAAGTATTTGCCCTTAGTTTACAAAACTAGGCCAATACATATTTTTCTTTATGTAATAACATATATAATAAAAACAATCTCACTGTAAATAAGAGAAATTGGATGGTGGCTTGCACATTTAAGAAGACAACTCTGAGATTTAACCATTGGTGAAACCAAGTTCATTGTTCAGCACTCAAGCTAATTCACATTTCCTTGGTTTTTGCCTAAAGCAGAGAGTAACTCAGAAAGGCAGTTTTCTCTGCTACTGATTTTTGTGCATTTATTGTACCTGGCAACAATCTGGCAGTCAGGAATTCTGGAGCCCGCTAAGCCGTCTCTAGTGGTAAAGAGAGGGGAAGACAGAGAGTGATGAGATCAGAGGAGAGTAAGAATGGGAGGTCCTGCCTGGGGATGACTCACTCTGTCCACACTGTGTATGTATTCTTTGAAACCTCTCCATATTTATCAAACCGCAGTTATCTCTTTATGATCATACCACATTTATATATTTTCCAGGTATTAGAAAAGGACCCCAGATATACTGAAGTGTAATGTCAAAAGATTTGAGTCTTGTATATTTTGACTCTTGGCGTTTTGTAACAATATTTGGTAACTAACTTAACAAAGTTGAGGCTGATTTTGTAGTCTGTTGAGTTATATTTTTTACATAAAGTTTATGGACTAATACCTATGTTTGTAACCTCTGAAAGGGTGTTTGATTTTTTTTTATAAATTATAGATTAAAGTTTGTTTTGTCATATGATTCAAGGTGAAGTATAAATAAAATTAATTTTAAAGTTACTTTATGTTTCCTCATGCAGAGTAGATGAAATTAGATTTTAAATAAGGAGACTTTTGAGATCTAAGCTTAGTTACATTGTTAAGCTTACAGTATTATTTATAAATATCTGATTCACTGCTATGAAAATGAACAGGAATAGGTCTAAAATATTTTTAAAGATTTATTTATTTGATTTGAAAAGCACATTTTTAAAAAGTGGGGGTGGGCAGAGAACAAGAACTTCCATTCATTGGTTCACTGCCCAATTGGCCTCAATGTCCAGAACTGAGATGATCTGAAGCTGGGAGCCAGGAGCTTCTTCCAGGTCTCCCACCAGGGTGTAGAGTCCCACGGCTCTATCTGCTGCTTTCCTAGGCCACAAGCAGGGATCTGGATGAGAAGTGGAGCAGACGAATCGTGAACCTGTGCCCATAAAGGATGCCTGCACTTAGAGATGGAGGATTAGCCAATTGAGCCATTGTGCTGGCTCCCGACATTGTTTTACATTTGTAGAAAAATGTGTGGTAGTTCCCCTTGCTAATCTTGTATCCCTTCAGAGGAGTTAGCAACTCAATTGAAGAAAAAAATATTTTTGGCACTTCTGATTAGAGAAGCTGCTCTTTTAGACAAATTTATTTTTAAATATATAGTCTTTTACTTCTTGTTTTTTCTTATAGTCTTTATATTTGCCTGTTAACAGCCCTTCATTCACTAAGACACAGATTTGAGTATTTGACAAAAATAAGACTCAGTGAGAGTTCTTGGATAAGTAATGACAATACTTTACTTTAAAATGAAAGAAAGAGAACTGTAAAGATGCTGAGCAAATAACACATGTGTCATCAAGAACATTTGGGTGGTCATGTCGGGAGAGGGCTGTATTTATTGTTTGATCCCGAGGCCTTGGTAAAGCTAATGTGTCAAATTATCCTAAAATGTGGGTCAGGTTTATCAGATAAGAACTTTGTTTTTAGTTGCAGTGGGTTGCTTTTTTAAAGTTTTTTAAAAAAATTTCTAATATTTGTTTTAAAGATTTTTTTTTTATCTAAGAGATTAAAAACTCACAGTGTGATTTTTCACAATTTTCCTGAAGATTACTTTTGAAGGGATAATTCTGAGCCAGAGAAGTTTTATTGGGCTGGATCAGCTCTGGGTCTACGGCTGTGAAGAGGCCTCCTCCCAGAATCTTTGCTCATCTGATGAATTCACTTGTGCAAGTGGCCAATGCACTGCCCAGGATTTAATGTGCAACTCTCAACAGAACTACTCTGACACAACTGAAGATCCAGCAACTCTGTGTAAGTGAAATGGTAGCTTACTTGTTGCCCTCTACTTTGTACTTGTTACACTTCAGATAGCCTTTGCTTAGGTTAAAGTTAGTATCTGGGAAATAAAGAAAATGTACAATTTCAATCTGAAACTATTCACATGGTCCTTCCCGGGACTTGGTGTCCATTTAATATTTAGGTACTTGTTGCTAAGAATGCAAAATTTCTCTATTTGGTTGTGTTTATCTGTGTTGCATATACATGGGTGCATTTGCGTGTGCTTTGGTTCCAGGGGAGTGGATGGCAGAGGCTCCTTTTGACCACCTCTTTGAAGGCAGATCTTACTGATAGTTAACACATAATAGAAGTATGTTCTTTTTCTTTAAATTATTTTTTTTGGAAACGATGGGGAGTATGTAGGAAGGACTCCCTTTACCTCCATGGCAGTCACTCTGGCTCTGGATATCACTTTAGCCACCCTTAGTATTCAGGAGGGCAAAAAAGATCAATGTTTTATTTTCAGGTCTTTGTTGAAGCGTCTTTGATAAGCATGATGACAACAGATACTGTTGTAGCTCAAGCCTGGTAATATGTGAATGAAATAATTTGATAACCTACATAATGGTTTACATATTAAGGAGTTTGGCAACTAGGATATTTGTGTGTGTTTAGAAACAGTGATTTCTGACAAAATGAATTAATTTTCTGTATCACAAGCAAGTGGCTGTTTAAGACATATTTAAGGTTGATGTTATTTGCTGCATATTTTATTCTAGTGAGGTATTTTGTTGAGAGGGAAAATATTACAAGATGAATGTCAGTTTTAATGAAAAGCTATTTCTACAACATGTTCATATTGATAAGTATTTTATTAAGAGCAGAGAAGAAAGACACAGAGAAGAAGAATTATGAAAGCAAAGGGGAAAATCCCGTCCTAACCTGTTTACAAACAGACCAATGACTTCCTCAAAATCTAATTTTAAACCAGTGAATTGCCAACCTGGGTAATCTCATTGGTGTTTCAGAAGGCTCTCTTTCATTCAAAAGGCAAATATGAGGATAATTTATTCCTTCTAATGTGAGAATGACAAATTTTCTCCTGCACTATCATTTTTTTTTATACAGACAATTTGGTTCATTTCTCAATGGGAAGTCTTTCTGACAGTTTCTATTACTGCTGATGTTGAAATGTTATTCATAGTTCCTATAACTGAAAGGACTTTATTCTCTTCAGTTTCTGGATGTGATTTTGAAGCAAACAGCTGTGGCTGGTTTGAAGTAGTTGGTGGTGACCAGTTTGACTGGATCTGGGGCTCCCAAAGTGAACTTTCTGCTGATTTTAAGCATCAGGCCCCACCTCAGGATCATACCCACAACACAGCTGAAGGTAAGAAGCCAGGAGACATTCTAAGTGCTTTGAAATACTATTTCTTTGGGGCAAAAGCAAAACAAAAGTAATTGGAATTCTCAGGATAACAGACATAATTCTAGATAAGTCATCTATGTGTAATGATTGTGTTGTGTGCAGTATGGATGAAGAATATATTTATTTTTGACTGAATTAACTAAAGTAACCCATTGTTTGGGCATCATTTAGACACAGATGTAAGTAAGTTTTACTTTCAGTCACTTTTATTGATTTTATTTAATTATTACTTTGTCTTACCTTTGGATTTGAAAGTTACTTGACATAGGATAACGAGGGAGATACTTTATCTTAGAGTCTAGTGGGTTAGCTGATCATTTGTCTTATGTCTCCATAGGGCATTTTATGTTTATTTTGAAGAAAAATAGCAGTTTGTCACAAATTGCTAAACTCCAGAGCCCAACTTTCAGCCAGACTGGACCTGGATGCACACTCTCCTTCTGGTAAATATTAAAAGCAATTATCAATTACCCTTCTTGCCTGATGGTTGCAGGCATATTCCTGCACTTATTAGCTGTTTTATCTAACCTCTGGTTTTATTTTCCAAATAGCTATTGCATTAAATTCACACAATTTACCTTTTACATAGGTGCATGTTTTCAGTATTTGTTTTCTTGTTATAAGGAAAGGGCATTTTCCTCCTGCTGACGGATTACAATGTAATGAAAACTGCTTCTTCTGTGTTTTTTTCTGAGCTTCTGGAGAAAGTCTCCCAGGGTTGTGAGAGCCATGCAGTGTGCACTTCAGCAGGTGGGCGGCCACTATTAATGCAGAAAGGAAAGGCTTCTGTTTATGATAACCAGTTGTTTATTGTTAACCAGGTGGATGAGTCTGCAGGTTAGATATTTAATCTACCTATAAATTGTTTTCATTTCTTGTGCTTGTCATTTTCCAGGTTTTATAACTATGGGCTATCAGTGGGAGCAGCTGAGATGCAACTACACATGGAAAAAGCCAATGACTCGACACCTGTCTGGAGAGTACTATACAACCAGGGTAACCAGTGGTCAGAGGCAACCATTCAGTTAGGGCGCCTCACTCAGTCCTTCTATCTGTCACTGCAAAAAGTCAGTCTTGGGATTTATGAAGGGATCTCAGCTATTGATGACATCAGATTTGAAAACTGTACACTTCCCCTTCCGGCTGCGAGCTGCGATGAGTCGGATCATTTCTGGTGTCAGCACACCAAGGCTTGCATAGAAAAGCTTCATGTGTGTGATCTGGTGGATGACTGTGGTGATCGCACTGATGAGGCCGACTGTGGTAAGTTGCTTTGGATCTCTCTTATTCATTTTGGGAGTGATGACCTTTATCAATTATACATGTTTATCTGTTGAAGCCAACAGCACAGTATAATTTCAAAGCTGATGAATATTACGTGTTGTTAGTTCAATTGTCAGACTATTAGCTTTGTGAAGAAGATTTAGTAACTAGATACTAAGAATACAACGGTAACAGTTACAGAGCCTCTGGCTGCAGGGAGACTACAGTCTACTTAAACAAATTGATTTTCTGTTGGTTAATGAGGAATTAGATATAGTAGTTTTGAGAGGAACTACAAACAGGAATGCTATGACTTTATGTGATCCTGGCACTAAACTTTCTAGACGCAATGATTTAGTTGGGTTATGAAAAATAAATCAAAACATCTGTCTAAAAACTCTGATGGGGACTAAGAGACAAATGACAAAGACTATGATTGAAAAGGAGAAAAGAAGGGTAAAGAAGGAACAAGCTACAGAGGAAGATGTGGGAGAGACCAGAGTCACAGAAATTTTCTTACATTTGAAGGGTTTCAAGAAGGACATTATAGTAAAATGCATACATTTTAGAAGGTCACTGTGGATAGAGTATACAATCATTAGAGGAGAATGGATGTAGGGGATCCATTCAAAGTTATTGTCAGATTGCACAGGAGTGTGCTGGACAGTGGGTCACAGTGATAGTAGTGCAGCTGAGGAATAAAGCTTGGGTGTTTAGGAGGACTGTCTGATGATATTTTGGTTCTAAGCAGTAGAGAATCCAAAGTGGGTGTCAAAGTCAAGTCCTGATTTTCTGGCTTGAATTCACAAAACATTTGTGATTCTAGATGATTGTGAGGGTCTTGCAGTTTTTTGCACTTAACTGTGGTAAAGCCTCATGCATCTGCTTTTAAAAAATGTTTATATTTACTTGAAAATATTCACTTGAAAAGTTACAAAGAGGAAAAACTAAGAGAGAGAAATCTTTCATCTACTGTTTCTCTCCTCCAATGGTTGCAATGTCCAGAGCTGAGCTGGTCCGAAGCTGGGAGCCAGGAGCTTCTTCTAGGTGTTCCAAGTGGGTATAGGGGCCAAAGGCCTTGGACCATCCATCCACTACTTTTCCCCAGGCTGTCAGCAGGAAACTGAATCAAAAGTGAAGCTGCCAGGACACAAACCAGTGTTCATTTGGGATGCTGGCACCACAAATGGAAGATTAGCCTGGCATGGCACCTCACCAGGCCCAAGTTACTCACTTTTTAAAAACAAGATTTTTGTATTTATTTTTGAAAGAGTTACAAAGACGGGGAAATAGAGATATCCTCAATATGGTTTTGACCACAATGGCCAGGGCTGCTATAGGCTGAAGTCAGGAGCTTGGAACTTCACAGGAGTTCATGGTCCCAAGTGCTTGATCTGTTTTCTTCTGCTTTCCTAGGTGCAATAGTAGGGAGCAGAAATGAAAGTGGAGCAGCTTAGACTCAAATGGGAGCTTGTGTGCAGGCAGTGGCAAAAACCATCATGCCACATTTACTCACTTCTTAAGACTTTACCTTAGTATTGTGTTTTAAAGCTAAATGGTTTACATTAGAAATTAGCAATTATAAACTAGTGTTTTATTTTGTGTTTGATATTTTTAATTACCTTTGGCTGTTATTTAATGCCATTTCAGCACCTGAACTACAGTGTAACTTTGAAGAAGGACTTTGTAACTGGGAACAAGGTACAGAAGATGACTTTGATTGGACCAGGAACCAGGGTTCAACTCCAACACTTAATACAGGGCCAATGAAGGATAATACTCTGGGCACAGCCAAAGGTTACTACCTATACATAGAATCTTCAGAGCCACAGATGTTTGAAAACAAAGCGGTTTTACTCAGCCCTGTCTTGAATGTGACTGGTAAAGAGGGATGCACCTTCCGCTTTCACTACCACATGTTTGGAAAGCACGTATATAGACTGGCCATTTACCAGAGGATCTGGAGTAACACAAAGGGAGACCTACTGTGGCAGATATTTGGAAATCAAGGCAACAATTGGATCAGGAAAAACCTCTCCATTTCCAGCAAGCAGCCTTTTCAGGTATGGGTAATTGCCTTCATAATGTTTATTTGAAAAGCCTCAGAATGTCTCTATATGAACACATACTTAGTGACCCCTAAAGATCAATCTATTCTTGAATTACAGGCATTGACTTTGATTCGAATTACTGTGATGTGCATTTATCACTTAGTTAAGGGTGTTCCCAAGCTTTTAAAAATGCTTTCATCCTTGACTATTCCCAAAAATGTATGCTTAGACTCCCTGAAGATGATCATGTGGGAAGAACTGCTGGTCATGCCAATTTTAATTATTTGTGATACCAAAATTTATAGGTTGAAATAATCAACCAAGCTCTCATGTTTGGCATTGTCATTTAAGACTCAGCAAATCGTGGCATAAAAGGTATCAATTCAACTCTGCTTTTTTATCACAGTTTTATTGATATATAATTGACATATGATAGATTTTTAAAAAATTTGCTGACATTTGCCTTATGGCTCAACAAATAAATGTTCTGTCCTAGGATATATTACATGCTCTGATGAAAAGATTGTGGATTCTGAACCTGAGGGGTGAAATGCTCTGTAGGTATCAGTTAGATCCATTTGATACATAGATTAGTTCTGTTCTTTTTTGTTACATTTTTGTCTAGTTGATTTGTCCATTGATGAAAGTGGGGTATTGAAGGCACTATTATTTTTGGAGTCTCTGCCTCCCTTTATATCACTAACAATTGTCTTTATAGCCAGGTGCCCTTACATTGTTGGGTTGATACCTTAATCATTATTTAATCTTCTTCTTTGTCTCTCTCTCTTTTAAAATAATTTTTGTGTTAAAGTCTGACCTTAATATGGCTCCATCTGCTCATTTTTCCTTTCTGGTAGCAGGGAACACCTTTTCCATCCTTTCAGTTTCAGTCTCTGATGACCTTTGTTAGTAAGTATGGTTTTTGTTGGCAGAAGTACAAATGTATTTTTTTTTATCCATTTTGCCAACCTGTATCTTCTTATTGGCGAGTCCAGGCCATTTAGATTCAGGGTTATTACTGAAAGTTAACGACCTTGTTTTTCCCATAAATGGTCCTATTGTTTGTTTTGGACTTCCTTAGTCCTTTTACATGGAGATTTTCTACCTTCACATACTTTCATTATGGTGATTATCATTTTCTCATTCTGAGTGTAGTAACATTATAAAGCATCATTTTAGGCTGGATGGATGGTAGCAAATCCTTTCCTTTTCTGTTTATTTTGTGAGGTCTTTATTTTGCCTTTATTTATAAAAGAGAGTTTTGCTGGGTATTATTCTGGGCTGGCAGTTTCTTTTAGGACCTGGAAAAAGTGTTTCCATTCTCAGCTAAGTAAGTTGTAGGGTTTCTGGAGAGAAATCAGCTCTTGGCCTAATTAGGAATTTCCGAACACAATCTTACATTTGTCTCATTTACACTGTAGGGTCTTTTCTTTGTGGTGGTTAAGATTATTTCTGACCATTCCTGTTAAGAGTTCCATATGCTTCCTGTATTTGAATGTCCCCTTCTTTCTTCATATTATGGAAGCTTACTGTTATCATTTCATTGAATGTATTTCCTTCTTTCTATACCTTCAGGAACTCCAAAACTATATAAGCTTGATTGCTTGATAGCATCCCATAATTATTGAACACGATTTTTAAATTTTCTTATTTTCTTCTTCATCTTTTTTGTCTGATTTGGTTGTTTCCAAGGTTTTGTATTTTAACTCAGATGTTCTTTCCTCTGCCCAATCAAATTTGACTAGTTCTGCATCATGTTGGCCAGATTTCTAGTAAGTATGCCACAAATTTACATAAGTATTAAAATAACCCATCATAATTAACTTCATTATGGTAAATATCTGTTCTTTACACAATACATCATATTTGTCATTTGTCAGTATTTCATGTCTTACTGATGTTTTGTTGGATTCATAGCTCCCGTAATAGCAAAATGTCATCTGAAGTCACTGTGATTTATGTTGCTCTGAATGGGATCTAGTAAGGATTAGCCAATTTCATAAAGTATAATTGATGGAAGTTTTAAAAGCTTTAAAATTATTTATCTGGGTTGCTGGTTCCATGGCACAGAGAGCTAAGCCTTTACAGTGCCACTAGCATCCTATATGGGCTTTTTTAAAATTAATTATTTTTATTTGATAATCTTTACATAGCTAATTAGGGCACAAAGGGTCAAGGGCTACAGGAAAGTGGGTAAGACCATTGTTTTCACATTATTATTATTATTATTATTATTATTATGTATCTGGGGGAAGTGGGGGCTGATAAAGGGAGAAGCCTCACCCAGCTTCCCACCCATCCCAGGGTCCCCAATGTGGGGCATACTCTGAGGGTCCTGCTGAAATGGTTTTGATAGTTAACAGTTCTGAATTGCAGCCAATCTTGTCATTCCGAGCACAATGAAATCTCTCCAGAATCCCCTGGCTGACATAGCTCATCTTAGAGTCTCCGTTTGCCTATTTGGTCATTATTTAAACATTCTTATTTTCCATTTTAAAATTTTGCAGGCATAGGACCTCCTTCCTCTCACCCACCTCATTGTCCTTTGTGTTTTGTAGTAAAACAGTCTATCAAGTATAGTCTTGACTCCAGCTTTCTGCTGTTTATGTGGGTCATGACATTGTTTGTATAGGCAATGATAGAAAGTTTAATATTTTGTAGCCTGTGTATTTTAAAGTTTCACTGGGGGCCTACTTTGATGTAGTAGTAGAGATGTATTCTGTTGATTTTGTTTGATTCCTGGTAATCTGGTCTCTATTATATCCTTCATTTGAGAGATTACAAATGAGTATTTGTCTTTTTGTTTTGTTTCGGATTTTTGATGGAAGTTGTTATATATTAGAGCAAACATATGATATTTGTCCTTTTGGGATTGGCTCATTTCACTGAGCATAACGGTTTCCAGTTGGAACCTATGGTTACAAAAGATAAAATTTCATTATTTTTAATAGCTGAATAGTATTCTATAGAGCAGATGTACCATAGTTTGTTTACCCAGTCCTCCCTCAATGGGTATCTAGATTGTTTCCATGTTTTTATAAATGTTGATTGTGCTGCAGTGAATACAGGGGTGCAGGTTGCTTTCTCGTGTGTATGTATTATTTCTTTTGGATGTATTCCAAGGAGTGAGATAACTGGGTCATATGGTAGGTGAATTTTCATTTGCCTGAGTATTCTCTACACTTACTTCAACAGTAGTTTCACCAGTCTACAGTCCCACCAGCATTGGAATAGGGTACATTTTTCCTCACATCCTTGCCAGCAGGTGTTATTGGTAGCTTTCTGTGGGTAGGCCATTCTCACTGGGGTTAAGTGGCACCTCAGTGTGGTTTTTATTTGAATGACCCTTATTACTAGGGAGCTTGAGCATTTTTTCATATGTGTGTTAGTCATTTGGATTTGTTCCTTTGAAAAATGTTTGCTCATTTTCTTCACTCATTTGTTAACTGGTTTATTTGTTTCATTGTTACCGGAGCTAACCAGTGGGGCTAGTATTTCCATGGTGTTTGGCTCACACATCCCCCCCAGAATCTACCCCTGGATTATGGTTCTCTCATGTGCTAGTTAATGTCATGGCCTTGCCTAATGTGACCTGTCTCCTGATTCATCATCATGTCAGGTAATAGGATATGATCCTGCTAGACAAGCCCCAAGCCTTAGCTTTTGCATAGACTGGTGTTTGGTGGTTAGCATTGTTCAGTGATTACAAGTACTACACAGGATTTAAAGAAGTTTGGTATATCAGTCTTGTCCATAAAGATTATCTGGTCCCTCTCCTCCAACCTACCAGGTCTCATTACCCTCGCTTACCTTCAAAGGAAAAGTTACTTTATCCTTGGGAGTCTTTAGGATTGAAGACTTCCAAATGAATTTTCTTTTCTTCAATGTTTTGTAATTTTCCTCGTAGAAATCTTCCATATCTTTAATTAGGGTTATTCCAGGGTATTTAAGTGTCTTCTTTGTTATTTTGAAAGGAATGATACTGACAAATTCTTTTTTAGTCCTGGAGTTGTTTGTGTGTACTCAGACCATTGATTCGCATTCATTTATTTTGTACTCTGCCACTTTACCAAACTCATTTATGAGTTTGGGCAATCTCTTTGTTGAATCTATTGGTTCTTCTATGTGTAGAATCATCCATCTGCAGAGACAGTTTAACTTCCTCTTTTCCAATTTGAATTCCTTTAATTTCTTTTTCTAGATTAATGGCTCTGGTGAGGACTTTCAGTGCTATGTTAAATAACAGTAGTGATAATGGACATCCTTGTCTAGTTCCAGATCTTAGTGGGAATGCTTCCAATCCTTTTCCATTTATTAGGATGTGATGTTGAGTTTTTTTTATAAATTGCTTTGATTATGTTGTAGAATGTTCTTTCTATGCCAATCTTGCTTAGTGTTTTTAGCATGAAGTGGTGTTTGATTTTATCAAATGCTTTCTCTGAATCTATTGAGATTATCATATGATTTTTGTTCTTCAATTTCTTCATGTAGTGTATCATATTTCTAGATTTGCATATGTTAAACCATCCCTGTATGGCAGGGATAAATCCCACCTGATCTGGGTAGATGATCTGTCTGAGGTATTGTTACATGCTGTTGGCTAATATTTTGTTGAAAATTTTATTGTCAATGTTAATCAAGGATATTGGTCTATACCTTTCTCTATTGTGTCTCTGTCTGGTTTTGGTAGTAATGTGATGTTGACCTCATAAAAGGAGTTTGGAAGGTTGCCTCCCCTTCAATATTGTCTGAGGTGATCCTAATCTGACTCTTATGTGTACCCACCAGCATGGGGTCCAGCTCATTCTGTCAGCCACATCAGCCCACACACATACTGATAGTTTCAATCAGGTCATATCTATTTCTGGCCCTGTTTCCTATATACACCAATGGGTGCTATGGCCTAGCCCAATCCTGCCCATCACACACTCAGCTCTCATGTACACCAGGGGGAGCTGCAGCCTAGTCAGAGCGATCATCAAAAATCCCCAACTGGGCCAGTCCCCAACCCTGGTTCCTGTGCCTGCCAGCATGTGCAGGGTACTGGTCTGTCCTGTCCCACACCCTACTCAGCTCTTACAGATATCATTGGGCAACTCAACCCAACTGGCTCCACCTTCCATCCCTCACTTATGCCAGTGAGTGCCACTGCCTGTCTAGCCAGGTCTGCTCCCAGTTCTGGTTCTCATGCTCACCAGTATGCGCTCCTGATTTCCAACTTTGCCTAGCCCCGATTGTGGACATCTTACATGGTGAAGCAACAGTTGGGAGGTTTTCCTCTCTGGCTCTAGCTCTCCTTACACCCTTCAAGCAATTTTTTAAAAAGCAATTCAGACCTGATGACTATCAAAACTGCATGAGCAGGACCCTTGGAGTATGCCTCACATCAGGGACCTGGAATGGGTGGGAGGCTGGATGGGGCTTTTCACTTTGCTTCTCCCCTGACCCCAGATACAGGGAAAAAAATGATATTAGTGTGGAAACAATGTTCTTACCCACTTTCCTCTAGCCCTTGATGCTTTGTACCCTAATCAACTAAGTAAAATTATTTTTAAAAATTAATTAAATTTTAAAAAGATTAAAAAATTAGGATTTTAAAATGAATAGCTTATCAAGTAATGCTGATAATAAACTAGATTTCTAGAAGAATGGACATGTTTAGTAACTTTGGAAAAGGCATAAGTGAAAACAGAATAATAATTTGCCTTCAGATACTTGAAGAATCAAAGGAAAACTAAGCAAACCTAGAACAAATGTTTGAAAGTTACAGGACACACACGTAGTAATCTGATATACTAAGATGGCAGAAAACGGAAACTCTTCAGAAACAGCATAAATTTGTCAGTCTAATGGACCCTTTAAAGCTTACAGCTTCCTGTGACTAAACATTCAAAGAGAGGCCATATGAACGCTTCTAGAGACTTCGAAGTGTTTCGTTAATGGTGCAGAAGAGGAATATCTTTAGATATCTTCTGAATTCATTTCTAACTCCCAGATTCTATGACGTAATTTCTCTCACAGTGATCACAATTTTCTCGCATTGCTTTTAGATTTTGGTGGAGGCCTCAGTGGGAGATGGCTTTACTGGAGATATTGCAATTGATGATTTGTCTTTCATGGACTGTACTCTCTATCCTGGTAAGAGAAAAATGTTAATGTATGAATATTTCTAAATCATATCTATAAACATGGAGAGATTTAAAAAATATTTTCCTATTAATTAGTTTTAATATTTTTGCAAGCATAGTAAAGAGATTTGCATAAGCTGTATTTCCATCTCACTATATCAAATGTGCTAGGGAGTCATAGATGAAGTTGAACTGTGATTCCATTATGTTTGAGTGATTATAACAACCAAAGTGATTACAGTCTGTGACACAGATTCTCTTCAGGGTGTTCTTTACTCTTGGGCTACACTGTGAATAGTCTTTAGGGTGTTTGTCAATAACTCCCTCTGTATATAATAGATTTACTTGTATTGAAAAAGAATATATATTTACCAAAATATATAGCTCCATCTTCATCTTTTCCCCTGAACTTGCACTTAGATACAAATTTCCTGCTCAGCATCACAACTGGGATGTCTAATAGGGATCTCAAACTGACCAAAGGAAAATAGCTCAATTTGAAATAGCATTATTGGGGACAGTGTGCACCAATTCAGTTGACTCTATTTCCAGCCCTTAGAAGGTGGCCATTGTTCAGGCTGGAAGCACTACATGTCAAGATGTAGCACAGTGCCTTTTTTGGAAGCATCAGCATTTGATCATCCCCAATTACTGAAGACATCTTGTCACCTTTGCTCCATTGTTTTGAAGTTGTTCAGCATGGGAGTGCTGGTCCATTCTCAGGCATCACTGAAGAGTTCCATTCCAGTCCTTTCAGCTGTTGCTGTGGCACTGGCCTGATCCTTCCCTCCATCTCAGCGTTCCAGCAGGACTGATCACCATCATTGTTCTGTACAAATGTTTCCATAGAACTTTGTAGAAAGCACACCCTCCTCTGAAAGGTCAGCGAGCGAAGAGCCAGAATCCTGGACAGCATTGTCTCTCCAAGTAAAATCATTGTCCATTGCTTCTCAGTCCTGCCACACTCTAGCTCTTCTTAACTCAGTGACAGATTGTTTCTAGCTGATTACATTAGCAAATCTGACCAATCACCAGCTTCAGATCTACCCAGAACTCACTTCTTTTCATCACTTCCACTGCTTTCCCCTTTGGTTCAAGATGCTATTTTTTTCTGCAGGGATTGTTTGGAAATAATTTCTCTGCATCCATCTTTAAACTTCACAATCTATTCTCAGAAGAGAAGCCCATGTGACCTTTTTAAACTTATGCAAGATCATGCTACCCTGTCTCTAGTCCTATGACTTTCTACTTCATTGAGTGTAGAAGTCTCACATCTTGCAATAGCCTTTTGGCTTTCTCATACCTACAGACTTTTCCGTTCTGCTGGTGTACCTAAAATCACTTCTGACTACCAAAGACTGCTTATAGGATTTTTGACCAGGGTTTTTCCACTTTTCTTTCTCTTCTCCTGAGTACACTTCCCTCAGAAACCAGTTGGCTCCATTCCTTACTTTATTGTTGTTTTTGTTCAAAGTCTTCTGTGAAATTTTTACTGAAAATCACACATACACAGTGTCTCCTTAGTATTTTCTCTCGCTGTTCCCTCTGCTGATGTTCATTGCAATACATATCATCTTTATAGTAAATTTCCATTGTCTCTCGTAACAGTGGTTGCATGAGAACTTGCATATTCCCTGCTCACTGTCTTTTTTTCCCCCAGCAACTAAAGCAGTATCTGGCACATAGTTATACCCAATAAATATATTTGGGTGGGTGGGTAGATATATGCAGAGATGCTCCTTTTTAGATGTTAGACATAATTTTGTTATGTATTTTAGTTTATTATTAAAATATAATACTTATGTACAATAAGTATGCTGTGTGTCAGGTTTTGTTCAAAGCCAAATCCTGATGGCTTTATAATCACAAGAATTTATTTCTTGTTATCAGATGAAAGGGTTGACATAGAGCACTAATAGAAAAATTAAATTATTTCTTTTTCATAGCTCTATGTCTCTAAAACTGTATCTCTGTGTCCTTTCTTTCTATGACCACAGCTGAGGGACTAAGCCTTTTCTGAGACACTTAGTGGTCAATAGCAGGAAACACATTTAAAGCTGCTATCAGAACACAGTATGTGTCATATCTGCTCTTGTCCATTGAATAGAGCAAGTCACATGGTCAAGCTTAGCAATAGACTTGGCAGTATTCACCTACAATGACCTCAGCAACAGGAAATGATATAGACAATCCTTGCAAATTAGGGCCAACTTTATTTCACAACAATAAAACTGACAACCTTATATATTTTTGTGTCACATAATTCTATAAGAGTCTGGATAGGGATCCATACTGTGATGTAGTGAATTAATTCCCAGTGGTGTGACACAGACATCCGATATGGGTGCCAAATCAAGATTGGCTGTTCCACTTCTGGCCCAGCTCCCCGCTTGTGGGAAAGCAGTAGAAAATTGCTTGAACCTACGTGATAGATTCATAAGAATTTCTTGGCTCCTATCTTGGGCTACATTGCGAGTGGTAAAAAGCTATTTCTATCTCTATCTCTATATCTGTATATGTATTTATTTATATTTATATTTTTATCATATTTCTATGTTTATTTCTATCTAATCTATCCACATACCCTTTGTCTCTGTAATTCTGCCTTTCAAATTTTTTTTTAGAATCATAAGAAAAGAGACCCCAGCAATGTGTGGTCCATCATGGGTGAATAGGTGTTGAATGCTGAGTAGGTTGCTGGGTTTCTTATCCTGGTTTTTGAAGAGCCCGGGGTACCCAGCTAAAAGCACAGTGACTCCTTCTAACTGTAATGTTAACCGCAGTGTTCGGCTCATCCAATGCACTTATGCTTCAAAGAAAGCTACAATTACCATTTTACAGGTTTGAAGAACTGACTTAAAAAGCATAAGTCATCTGGATGAGAGTTTCAAACTTAAAACGTAAATGAGCTTGTATTTTTAGCTTTTCTAATTTCAATGGTCACAGTTTTTCCCACATTTCCTCCCTAAACTAAAAAGTCACTGTGAGTAAGAGAACAAGATAAAGACACGAAAAGGGAACACGAGTCACCACTGAAGTGCTGCTGTCCAGTTTTCCTGCTACGCCTGTTCTGTGGTGACAGTTCAAGGTGGATATGGAAGAGCTCCCAGAGGCATAGAGAGAGATGTGCCATCAGTTACTGACTACTTGCCCCAATTTTCTGGTTCAACTTTTGAAAGAAAAAGATGTAATGGTACCATAAACTGAAACATAAAACAGGTTAGATTTGACATAAAAATATTGCCGTTGATGGCTGTGAACATTTCCTCACAGCATCAGTGTAGCTGAGATGAGATTTGTAGGTGTACTCACAAACATTGATTTACTTTTAATATTAACTGTTTATCCGAAGCATTTTTCCTTCTTGGCTGACAAACAAAAATTAATACTCACATAGATGGGGCTATAACTGTGGTGCAGTCTGTTAAGCCTCTGCTGGTTGTTACTTCAAAAGCAGCCTCTCTTTGCCTGTGCCTTGCTTGTTATGTTTAATGATGTAAATCTTCAACAACCCAGGCTTGAAATTGCAGGCATGTATGACTTCTTTTGTTTGGAGCTCACAATTCCAAAATATTGTTTGCATCTGCTCTTTAATTTCTATTGCTTCTGTCAGGACCCTAGTTCAAGACAGTGTTGTCTTGACTGGGAAGCTTTTGAATCACAAATGTTTATTAATTTTTACAAGTTAAAAAAGTTATTTATCTATCTGAGGTGCAGGTATCACAGTGTCGTAACCATTATACCAAACACCTACTCAAACCCTGCTTTTTTCTTTCTCAACATTTATGCATTTGATATAATAATTTAGATCTCATTATATATTTAACATTTGCATTAAATTTAGACTTTGTGTGTAAATTGCACACTCTCTCACACACAGAGGAGAGGAGAGGAGAGGAGAGGAGAGGAGAGGAGAAGAGAGGAGAGGATACAGTTCCACAGGCTCTGGGATTTACCCGCTCTCCTCCCTAAATTCCCTCCCCTCACTGATTTCCCCTATATTATTACAATTGTAGTCCTTCATAAACAGTCATAAGTTCATCATTCTGCTCTTTAATTATATCCTGACATTGTAGGTATGGACAATTGCAGAGTCTGGCATTCTATTGTCAAGATATATTTAATATTTTCATTACAAGTCCATCTTGGATTTGGAAGTAGAGACACATATAATTGCCTGAATTAAAGAAATTATTGTTCTGATTTCCTATTTCAAAGCCACTGCTAAATCATCCTCCACACCAATACCAGAAAAAAAATATTTCTTGAAGTAGAAATGCTGTATCTTGGTATTTCATTACAATTTTAAAATTTAGTTCAATATCCTCAGTTGGTATTAACATGGCTCTTTTAAGACCTGCTCATTATCTATTCTATTTGATTCCATGTGAGATCTTCTGTTTGTTGGTTCACTCCCCAAATGGCTCCAATGTCCAGGGCTATGCCAAGCTGATGTGAGGAGTCAGAAGTCAGGATTTTCATCCAGGTATCCTACAGGAGTACGGGGTCCAAACACTTAGGCTGTTCTTACTGCTTTTCCTAGACCATTTGCAGGGGGCTGGAGCAGTCAGGACTTGAACTGGTTCCCTCATGGCATATCAGCATTGCAGCCAGTGGCTTAACATGCTGTATCACAGTACTGTCCTCTTGATTATAACCTTAATTCATGGCACCAGAGTGAAAGATATATGTGATTGCCTTATATACTTGTCTTAAGTAATTCTGTGTTAGAAATGGTGTATTTGGGCCTGACCTACCAGCTGAAGTCCTTGCCTTGTACACATCAGGATCCCATATGGGTGCCGGTTCTAATCCTGGTGGCCCACTTCCCATCCAGCTCCCTGCTTGTGGCCTGGGAAAGCAATTGGGGATGGCCCAAAGCCTTGGGCCCCTGCATCCGTATGGGAGACCTGGAAGAGGCTGTGGGCTCCTGGCTTCGGATTGGCTCAGCTCCAGCTGTTGCAGCCACTTGCATAGTGAATCAGTGAACAGAAGATCTTTCTTTCTATCCACTTCTCTGTATATCTGACATTCTGACAAAAGTAAAATAAATCTTAAAAAATGGTGCATGTATTACATGAATGTTATCAATATGTTTATTGAATAATTTATTATGTAAGTTAATCCTCTCAATTTCTCTTCTTGGTTTTATAAGTTTGGAAAATAAAAAATTAGTTGTGTAAACTTTTACATGAAAACTTCTAGTTTGTGTCTCTCCTGATCTTTTGAACTTTACATGTGTGTTCATATGAATGATGAATTATTACTTTTTTTATAGCAGTGGAGAACAAAGTGTTTTTACCTGATGAGCTGGCATTACTCAGACTTTCAATTGTTTCTTAAGGAGTTTTAATTTGGTTTATTTGAAGAGCAGAATGAGAGCCATAGAGATATTTTCTATCCTCAGTTTCGTTCCCCAAGTGACTGCAATTGCTTGGTCTGGACCTGGCTGAAGTGAGGGGCCTTCAATTCCAGTTGAATGTCCCTGTTGGTGGTAGGAGCCCAAGCCTCTGAGCCATCTTGCACTGCCCTTCCTAGCTGGGAACTGGAGAGAAAAAGCAGCAGATGGATGCTCTGGCATTTCCCTGCTGCTTTATAACACTGGAAGCTTTGCTTTGCTTCCTCTTTTTAAATTGTCTATAATGATTTGTGTATTTGAAAGGCAGAATTACAGAGACAGAGGATGAGAGAGAAAAAAAAAATCTTTCATCTACTGGTCATAGAGGTTAGGGTTGGACTGGGCTGAAGCCAGGAGCCAGGAACTCCTTCCAGGTCTCCCATATGAGTGTTGGCGTCCAGTTATGCAGGACATTTCTCCCTTCTTTTCTCAAGTGCGTTACCAGTGAATTGGATCTGAAGTGCTACAATCTGGAGTTAAACTGGCACTCATTTGGGATGCCCGGGATATAGGCAGCAGCTTAATCACTGGTTCCAACTTCGGTTCTTAATGTGCAGATCTGTCACTCCCTTGATGCCTGCTTTTCTCCCAAGGCTTCTCCTTGGGCCTCCTATTTATGTGGTAAGCTCTAACTAGTTTTTCAGCGACTCTTTTTGCACTTTTACCTATTTGTATAATTTCAAAGACTATTTTCAGTTTTGGTATTTTTTAACATACTTAGAATTGATTATATATATACATGTACATATATATGTACATACATATTACATAAAATAGGTGAGCATATTAGTCGATACTATAAATTGTTCCTCATAATAGTTAATGAACAGCATACTTAGAGAACTTCATTGTTTGTGATCTCTAAAGAAATGGAAAGCCTGCTGAATTGTGCCTCTGTTTTATTTCTCATCAAGGGACTTTGCCAGCGGACCTTCCATCTCCACCAGAAACTTCAATTCCAGTAACTTTACCTCCACACAACTGCACAGACAATGAATTTGTCTGCATGTCTGATGGCCACTGTGTTAAAAACATTCAGAGATGTGATTTTAGAAATGACTGCCCTGACGAATCTGATGAATCATCCTGTGGTAGGTGAATCCCTAAAATAGATACGAAAATATAATCTTTGGGTAGCACAGCCTAATGTCATGATTATTTATTTTCTATTTAGCTTGGAACAATCTCCTATCCTAACAGCTGTTTCTGATTCTAATAAATATGTATTTTTAAGTAATGCCAACCCACATGTAAGTATATTTAGATGAATGTTCTGAATTCAGAACCATTGTTTTCATGCACTTGACTCTGCAAGTACTAGTACTAAGTCTTCTTTATGGATTTTCCTCTCTTGATTTCTTAAATTATCTAATGGGGGCCATTTGGGCAGGAAACTTCATCATTATTTAAAATTAATTAACTCATTAAAAGTGCCAAAATTTACCAAAATGCACACATATGAGTAACATGAAAACATAACTAATATGCAGATTTAATGCAAAAACCTGATGTAAGCCTGATGAGACCTTCATTCTGTTCTCTAATTGCAAGAACATTTTCGTTTTTCGGTATCTGCCGTTATGTGGCCTTTGGTAGATTAACTGAGCATACATTGCATTATTTAAAATTGAATTTTTCAGCATGTATTCTGAGAAGGAAAATTAACTTGAATTTGAATAGTTAATGCATCATATCAAAAGGAATTCATATTTGTATTGCTTTTCTTTCTCTCAATCTTTATTAAGTGTGCATGTGTGGGTGCTAATTCACTCCATATCTTAAGTCTATTGATTGTGAGATTCAGAATACACAGATTATAGACAACATAGTCAAACTCTTATGTATCATGTCAACATTGTAAAGAAATGCTAGAATTTAAGAGATACAGTAACATTCATAGTTATTATTTTAATAAAAATATTACTTGTATTTGCAAACATATGCAAATTAAATAAATACACCACCTCACCCACACAAACTCCAAATCATAAAGTCAAAGCTATCCTACTGTATGGATGGGATGAGATTAGTATTAGTTAGGGATGCCTTGCATCACAGAAGGAAAATGACTGTGGGATAAGTCGGAGTTTTCAAACTTCATGGAAGAACTGAAATCTTAAAATCATATGTGTGTGGTAGTATCTGTAAAGTTTATAATATTGATTCTTTATTGCGAAGATATTTATTCTCATATTTCAGTACTATACATGTATATTTTTTAAAGATTTATTTATTTTTATTACAAAGTCAGATATATAGAGAGGAGGAGAGGGAGGAGAGACAGAGAGGAAGATCTTCCATCCAATGATTCACTCCTCAAGTGAGTGTAAGGGCTGGTGTTGTGCCGATTCGGAGTCAGGAGCCAGGAACTTTCTCCAGATCTCCCACACGGGTGCAGGATCCCAAAGCATTGGGCTGTCCTCAACTGCTTTCCCAGGCCACAAGCAGGGAGCTGGATGGGAAGCAGGGATGCTGGGATTAGAACCAGTGCCCATTGGGATCCCGGCCCATTCAGGGTGAGGACTTTAGCTGCTAGGCCACACTTCTGGGCCCACTATAGATATATATTTTTAAATACATTTTTATTTTGAATTTTGAATTATGTGGTACAGTTTGTATAGACTGGTATTCCCCCTGCCTCAAACTCCCACCCCCGCCAGATTTTTCCCATTTTGTTACAATAGTGGAGTCCTTCATAAGGGATCATAATTCATTCAGTCTTTTATTTAAGTGTACCCTGTCGTTGTTGGTACAGACAATGTCAGACAGTCCTGCATCCCATTGTTTACACATATCCAACAGTTTCATTGGGAATCCATCTTTCATCTGGATATAGGGATGCATGTTCCATTATACCCCCATGTCTGTGTATGATAGACTGCAGTACTCCATCACTATACATTACCATAAATGAGAAACCATGAAACAAAGTATGAAACTGGTATGAGTTAGAACAGCCACAACAACAACATCAACAACACATTACAGCACCATGAAAAAAACGTGCCACTGAGTAACCAACACATGAGTGACAAAAAGGAAATACGGAAGTGTCTTGGGAAAAATGAAAGTATAATTTATGAGCCCATGATGAATTCAACTAGAGAAAAGGGATTACTTGGAATGAGCCAAACTGAAATAAAAGCATCAAAGCACATGGGATACAGCCAAAAAAGAAAGCAATCAAAAAACAGTATGGATTGAAATGTTGGCGTGATACTCTCCATGTTGGCTTCCTTATATAAGAGAGAATATATGATATTTGTTTTTTTTGTGATTGACTCATTTCACTGAACGTAATGGTCTGTAGTTGGGACCACCTGGTTGTAAATAGAATAATTTCACTCTTCTTAATAGCTGAATAATATTCCATGGAGTAGATGTGCCACAGTTTCTTTAACCACTCTTCTTTTGATGTACATCTGGATTGTTTCCATGTCTTTGCTATTGTAGATTGTGCTGCTGCAAATATAGGATTACAGATCCCCTTCTCACGTATGTTCCAGATTTCGCTTCAATTGGGTATATTCTTAGGAGTGGGATAGCTAGGTCATATGCCAGGTTTATTTGCAATTTTCTAAGCACTCACCATACTGATTTCCACAGTGATTGTACTAGCCTACACTCCCACCAACAGTGAAGTAGGGTGCCTTTCTCCCCACATCCATGCCAGCAGGTGTTGTTAGTTGAGTTCTGAATGTAGGCCATAAGAGAGATACAAATGAAAACCATGTTGAGGCACCTAACTCCAATGCTATAGATATTTAAACAGGATAGTCCTAGATTTTTTTGGAAACTTTTAATGATTACACATGTATTGAAATAATAGTAATTATATTGTTTGTTTTTTATGATTTTTTTTTTAAAATTTCTTTTAAAGGCCAAGTTACAGAGAGAGGGAGAGACAGACAGAGAGATTATTTATCCAATGGTCCACTCCCGTCCACTCCCCCATTGGCCACAATGGCTAGAGCTGATACAGGCAGAACCCAGGAGCTGGGAGCTTCATATCTGTAGGCGCCCCCAGCGTTTGGGCCATCTTCCACTGTTCTCCTGGCATATTAACAGGAGTGATAACAGATTTGCTTTGGTGCCCATGTGGGATATCAGCATTTCAGACAGCAGTGTAGTCCTCTGTGCCACAATGTCAGTCTCTGACGTAATAGTTTTAACAATACATAATACATAAATACACAAAGTTTGATTATAATAAAAATAAATCAAGAATAAAAAAGAGCTGGTGCAGATAGACGTTTTTGTTTATTGATATTTTCTTTGTTCTATTTTGACCAAGTTACAGAAGTTTGCAACTTTGAAAATGGAAGCCTGTGTAATTGGTATCAGCCAATTCCAGCGGATTTACTTCAGGATTCAAATACATTCAGATGGGGGCCTGGTAACGGAAACAGCATTCACCAAGGGGAAGAAAACCACAGGCCACTAGTTGATCATACAAAGTAAGTGGCCCTGGGTTTTGAACCTGACTTCCAGGAAATGTTTACCAAGTGGTTGCCAAACTCCTGCCCATCTTACACATTAAACCAAGCCAGTGCTATCATAGACGTGAATGTTTCAAAACAAAAGGGCTATGTGTATTCTTTCATTTGAAATTCTGTACATATGCATAGATGTCAACTGTACAAGGGAGACTAGCATACCAGTATGTAAAGATACTATGAAGTATGTACCTCTCCTCCTGAATGAAAATAGGACTTCCAATAAAACTTATAAATACACTTTTACATTACAATACCAGGCTTTCTATCTTTGCCTATACTTATCATGCCATAATGCATTTAAGTATAAAAAAGTTAACACCATATCATGAAAAACAAAATAAAAAAATAAATAACATGAAATGGGAAAAAAGGCAAAGCTTGCTCTCATAAATATTATTCATGAAACTATAGGAAAGCAGAAACAAAAATAATTTTTAATGTATCACTCTTTTTTAGAACACTTAATACCTTTTTATGATTATTAATTCACTGCACTCTTTTTCTCAATTTTCCTTCAGCTCATTATTTTTCCTTCTTCCTTCATTTTTCTTCCTGTCATTCCACTTTCCGTCTTTCTTATTCCTTTGTGTGCTGATTATTCACATGTGAAAGCAACTAATTGCAGATTATCTCCCCAGGAATATGAACACACTTTTCATCTTCAATAAGTCATACCAATAATTACTTATTATAATGTGATTTACCATTCAGTATAAGGTCATCCAGTAATTTTAAATCTGTTCCCAATGGTAGACTTTACAGTTAATATTGGTGTATCCCCATTTTATGAAGTAATGTGATGTAGCATTCTAGGAATTGAAGATAAGTTTAAAAAGTCCTCAGAAATGAATAAAAATGAAACCAAACATACTAAATCTTATATGATATGGTTGAAATAGCACTGAAAGAACATTGTTTTCCACTATAAAATTTGATGATTTATTTGAAATTTTAAAATTAATATATAAAGGAAAAATTCCATGTGTTTTAAAAAGATAATGTACTTCCCATAATGCAAGGAAATTTTATAGCATGAAGTGCCTACATCAAACAAAAATTAAAAAAAAAGAAAAAAGGGAAGTTTTCAAATAAATAACATAGCAGTGTATTTCAGGTACCTGAAAAAACAAAAGGACTCAAACCCCAGGTAGTAGAAGGAAAGAAGCAATAAAACAGAAGAAAGTAAGTAGAAAGAACAAAAGGGTAATGAAATGAATTGTTCTTTATGGGCTCATGAACCCAAATTAACCTAGTAGGTGGGCCCCAGTGCCTGGGACAGGAGACCCAAGCCCTGCCCTATTCCCCACCGTTGGGGCTCATAATTCTGGAACTTAGCTCGCACGTAGGCCCCAAGACCCAGGCCAGGTGACCTGAGCCTGGCCGAATCCCCTGCCTCTGTGACTCACGAACCAAGCACCCACCCAGTTGGTGGGCCCTAGGACCTGGGCCTGGCAACCCAAGCCTCATCAGATCCCCCACCCCTGGGGTTCATGAAACCAACACCCACCTAAAAAGGCAGGTCCCAGGATGTGGGCCAAGCAACTCACATTCCACCATTCATGGGGCTCAGGAACCCATTCCTCACCACATAGGTGAGCCTCATCAGATTTTTTTTATACTATTAACTACTTATATGTGGAAATATTGCATTGGTATATGGATTTTTACTAAAAAGAAGAGCCCTTAAAATCTTCAATTATAATAAACATATGACTGAAGTTACTGTCAAAATTGTATTTGTTCTCTTTGTGAAGATATTTGTGAGATGTTAGCTTGTAATGTGTTATGAGATGATAATGTAATTTTGTAAAACCAATGGCTTGGTGTTGTGTTTTCTTAAGGCTCTGAATTATATTACTGTCTATGCTTTCTGTCTTGACATTGGCTCATGGAAAACTTCAAACCAAATTTTAAATCCAGTTTCAGTAATCTGTGAAACTTCTAAAAGACATTTTGTGATCTAGTTTCATTTTTATCCTATTTAATATCTCAATACTTGTTTTAAATTGATCTTTTCTGTCTTCCTAAATTGAATTTATGGCAATTCATGCATTTGAACTGAATCCGTACAGTAGATCCAACAGGTCAAACCAATTAATTTAATAACAGCAGTACTGGCTAGTGTGGAAGGTAGCCAGTTGTTACAACTAATTGGCTGATTGATGGAACAAGCTGTAGCCAGTTAAGTTGTTTTCTGTGTCTTGCTTATGTTTTCCCATTAAGTGTTGCTTAATGCTGTTGGTTGGAATTCTTAGTTCTTTCCCTGGTTTGTGGACCTACCTAGTTTGTGAATCATTTTGTTTTTCATTGCTCAAGTAAACTTGTTATGGGTTTTGTAAGATATATGCCCCCTCCAAATTCCTGGAGCTATTTAAGCTCTGTAATATTTGGTGGATTAAAAGTGGCAACCTGATCTAATTGTTGGCCGTTAGGAGCTTATTAAGTCACAGGGGGTGTGGCCTCAGAGGTTGGTTCTCTCCAGAGGGTTGATAAGGTTGAACTCACATTCAGCCTCCTTGCTTGCTGGCTCCCGGGTGTGATATTTCCTCTGAACTTCTGTGAGTTTCTACCAGATACTGACAATGGGACTGCTGCAGCCTCAACTGTGACCTTGCAATTGGAAGCTGAAAAAACCTTCTCCTTCCTAACTTCTTTCAGCTATGTTGAGGCAATAAAAAGTGAATTAGAAGGAAACGCCACTGAATTTAGTTGGTCTTAGAAACAGTATGGCATAGACAATGGGATTTAAAGCAAGATTCAGGTCTCCGAGTAAAATGAGTAAAATGGTTAATGGGTGAAGAAAATGCCTTTAGTAATGGTTGTTGAAGAAAAATGAGTCTTCAGAGAACTAGATGGTTTGTAACAGGTTGCCTGTGTGGTATACTTCTCTCCTGTGATGAAGTAATCTCCAGAGAATTGGTGGTGAGTGCTTTTTGGAAGTTCTGTTTTTAATAAATTAGAAGAGAGCTTAAGCCTGCCATTTTGTTATTTTTCAAATGTGTGGACTTAATCAATATATTTCAGTAATTTATTTTTGGGTGATACTTCCTAAACTCCTTTAAATATCTAACTTTTCCCTCAGAAATGTAAGCCCCATTAAGAGTGAATGCACAGTGTGAGTATTAATCTGCGTGAAAGTTGATAATCTTGTTACAGCTTCAGCAATTTTCTGTGGTTTGAAATCTTGGGAGACACATTCTGGATGATTCAAGGGTAGAAATTTATAAAATGCCATTCACTACCAAGTAAGTTAAAAGGCTGTAACTTGTTCTTAAACCATTTTATCGTAACTTTGCTGTGTTCATGGAAAATGTGAAGAAATAGTTCATGTTATTCAAACTTGTTTTAGATTTCCTGAATAATTTTGAATTAATTAGAATTATTTGATAAGTTAAACTGCATGGAGAGTATGTTCACATAAGTGGTAACATAACTTTGAATTGTAATGTCTTTAAAAAACACGTGTATTTGAGATTTAAGACTATATAGGGGAAAGGAAGAGGTGGAAAGAAGTACGGAGAGGGGGTTTGGTGGTCAGAAAGAAACCTTCAATCTATTTGCTCACTCTGCAAGTGGCTACCACACCTGTGGCAAGACCAGACCTAAGTCAGGAGCCAGGAACTCCATCTAAGTCTCACACATTGGTGTCATGAACTCAAGTAAGTGAGCCATCCTGTGCTGTTTCCTAGGCGCATAATCAGAGAGCCACATCAGAAGCAGGCTAACTTGGACTCCACTGGATAGTCTTGTAAGGAATGCAGGTATCCTAAGCTGCAGGGAAAAATCACTGTGCCACAGTACCCATTATTTTGAGATATTTCTTTGAATGTGATATTAATATTGTATGATGTTGTGGGCTAAGGAGTTGACTAGCTCTCGTTAAGCCGAGAACTATAGGGAGTGGGCTTTGGGCTAGAAGCACCTGGTCTAATTGGACTCAGCTGTATCTAATATGCACTGATGAGGGTGTGGAGAAAAGAGTAAACGAGTAGGTGAAAGGTCAAGAGAGGAGGCAATAAAGGGAGGCCTTGAGAGAGACTTAGCAGAGACTGCCACCATCACTGGTCTCCTGTCGGTGCCTCATCCCCAGATCCTTGCCGTGTCCACGTTACTGGCTCTGCTGGCCGGTACAGTATGAAACTCATAGAAATCGATAGTTCTGGGGGAGAGTTTGGTCCAGAAGTTAAGATGTTATTTGGGAGTTGCATATCTCATAGTGTTAGCGTTCAAGTGCTGGTTCTGTTTTAGCTTCAAGCTTTTGGCTGATATGCTCCCTGGAAGGCAGCAATTAGTGGCTGAGGTGTCTGTGCTTGCCATCCCATGGTGTGGCCTAGTGGTTTTTGGTAACTTTGAAATCATATTTGATGAACTAAAATTTATTACTGAGATGTGGAATGTGAATGAACTGCTTAAGTTTGCCTAAGTTATTCTGCATAGGATGGCATGTTTAATGGACAGTAATATTCACTTAAATTGGACTAACAAAAGTGATACTTGAAAGAAAGTGAATTCAGGGTTCAGCGTGGATTCATAAAGAGTCTTCATGGTCACCAGGTTTTTCTCAAATATGTACAGCCTTCCATTGCCAAGGGATCTGCCCTGCTACTTATCATGGAATGGACAGTGTAATGTAGATTGTAGGGGAATCTTGCTAGGGTGGTGGTTACATATTGTCACCACTCATGTTATAGTAAGCCTTCAGACCCTGAAACCTTGAGCTTGGGTATCATGTCTTAATGGAACCCCTCTGGGCTGCTGGAGCTACAACGCCCCTCAGAAACTTGAGGTAAATCTTGTAGAGAACATAGTCCCCAGATGTAGATATCTCCCCAGCATGATCGAACTGAATTACCATGACCAGACTTTGAACATCTTCTAATTTTTTTTTTATTTCTCCTTGCTTGACTAAACAGAACTCTATTAGCCATTGAACATCTAGATACTTTCTTACTTCTATT